TTATTGGGATTTTTACTGGTTTTATTAATATTCGGTAAAGTGTTACTTAAATATTATTTTTATATCAATTTTTGTATTATTGGGCACTTTATCGGAAATGTTAAAAAATATTAATGTTTAAGTAAAAATAATAATATTTTAATATTTTTTATCGATTTTATTAAAAAAAATAACAAAAATCAATAATATTTTTTAATATATTAAAATTTCCATACTATAAAATTTTAGATAAGATAGCTACAACCCTAATCACAAATTTCTATACCAAGTTGAGAGAAAAAGATGGCCCTACCCTCTAACTACAATGATTGATAGAACCTAAGACCACAAGCCAATTTCGGCCTTTCTTCTAATATTTAGGGTAATTATAAATAAAATTTCAGTGAATTTTCATTTTGATTATTAAAATGTTTATTCTAGTTAATATCATTAATTTAGTGGTTAATGCCGGTATTAGTCCAAAAGATGTTTACTATAACATGTCTAATGAAATTTGGGGTGTTGAAAAGGTTGAGTTTACATGACGAGATTGTTATAATTATGTTTTTTTATTGGTTTGATGTGAATATAATATATTATATGTTTAAATATTTATAATAATTTAATAATAAATGATCGTACACCCATTCATATATTGTTTTTGAATTTGAAATCTCAAGAAATAACAATAATTTATTAACCTTTAAAGTCGCGTAGTTCGTGCAAGTAAATAAAAAAAATGAAAATGATTGAAGCCGGAGATGCTCAAAGTTTACTTAACAATTTCAAGGCTAAAGTAAGTAAAAACAAAATGTTTTTCTACACATATCAAGTGGATCAAAAAATTCGAAGAACACTTAAATATATCAGTTGATTTTACTCAAAATTATAAAAATTTTATAAGATTAATTAGTCACATACTGTATGAAAGTAAATTTTATTGTTAAATATTATATCTATTTTTTTCCATTGCAAATCACTTTTTAAGAAGTTGAAAATTAAGTTCTTATCAAGTAAAAATATATTTATTAAATTTAATCATAAAATAATTTTTATTTAAAAATGTATTTCTGAATTAACTTTATAATATTTTAAGTTTATTTTATTTAAATATCATATACAAATAAATAAATATTAATATTTAATTAACAGTCTACACAAAACTAATCAAATTTTAATATATATATAGACATATAGATCTATGTACTTCATAAAGATAGCAGAAAAAAAGGAACAAGAAAGAAATTACAGCAAACAAAGTCGACGTGTCATTAACACAGTCTGATGGTTATCACCGTATTCACACCTAGTTTTCCCTGGCTCGACCCCGGCCCAGACAATCTTTTTATGGTTCTGCTTAGTAAAAAAAAAATAAATAATTAAAACAATTAAAATTAAATTAGTGTTCTGTTTCAATCGTCTGGGTGGTGTAGTTGGTTATCACGCTAGTCTCACACTAGAGGTCCCCGGTTCGAACCCGGGCTCAGACATTTTGTTTTTCTGTTTTTACTTAGCTGATCCTTCCTTGGAGTGCCTGCCAAGCAAGCTTCCAAATTGTGGGGTATGCCATCGACCTATGTATTGGGTCCAAAATTACAGAGGCCGTTGCTCTGCTCATTTAGGTGTGTCGCCTTTTGCTCTTCCCGGAAGCTTCCTTGTTCGGACGAATACTTTTGACGTATTGAAGCGTTTGAATTTACAATTAAGCAGGATGATGGGGTTCTACCTTAAAACTCGTGCAAGGCTCACATGATGATGAGTAAACATGATTTACTTCATTTTTTTTCAACATGGAGACATTTTTAGAGACCATTAGTAAGCTTAAGAGGATTAAAAATATGGTAAAAAACATTTCAACAATATATCATGTATGATGCCGCTTTACTGGACCTTCGAATTTGCAGTCTTTGCTTGCTCATAGCATAGTATACATATTGCCTATTATTCTGTTTTATTTATTGCCTGCATCGTTGTGCATTTCCACTTTTGCTCAATTTCACTAACATGGATTCCCAAAGCACCAGATTACTTGAACCAGAAAGGAAACCAGGCATGAATGTATAAGGAATGATTCAATCTTTTCCATTTTAACTGAACCATAAGTGCTTGGCCATGACCGCTGTGGAACCAGCCTACTAGCCTCTGCAAAGGAATCCCCATAGGTAACCCCTTCTATATTCCCCACAGCCCAATCGTGCATTTCCACTTTTGCTCAATTTCACTAACATGGATTCCCAAAGCACCATGATTACTTGAACCAGAAAGGAAACCAGGCATGAATGTATAAGGAATGATTCAATCTTTTCCATTTCAACTGAACCATAAGTGCTTGGCCATGACCGCTGTGGGAACCAGCCTACAGCCTCTGCAAGGAAATCCCCCCATAGGTAACCCCTTCTATATTCCCCACAGCCCAATCTTTGGTCCAAAAAAGGTAAGATACTTGGAGTGCGCATGTTCATATGCTATTTTCTCATATTCATGTGTCCGACACGAAAGTTGGAACAGATACTTTTAGGAAATAGTACGAGTCGTAGCAATAGCTCCTCGCATTCACTGCTACCTCTCTCCTCCCGGATCTCTTAGGCAGGTTGTGACACTGACACCTACCAGAACCGCTTGGGAACTTTTCTCAAAGTCAAAACAAATTCTTCTATCTGCTGCTGATGACAGTGGTAGAATGTTTTTAAGTACATTTAGGACAGCTTTAGCGATACGGTTCATAGTATACACATATTTCCTGTTACTCTCTTCTATTTATGCCTGCCACATGATGCATTTGCTCGATTTTACCGACATGATTTCGCAAAGCACTGTGGTTACTTTAACAGAAAGGGAACCAGACACTAATGCGTCAGTCATGAAGAATGATTCAATCTTTTCCACTTCAACTGAAGCATAAGTGAGCCGTGGTAACCAGCCTACGAGCCTTAGGGAAAGAACTGCCACGTGGGAGCCCAAGCTTTGGTCCAAAAAAGGTAAGAAACATGGAGTGCGCATGCTGATATATGCAAATATACAAATACTTCGGTGACTGTGCATCTCATGTTCATAGCCATCATCTTTCCATAGTTCAGTCACATGAAAGCCACAAAGAACAAGCAGCACTTTGAAATTGGATTGTCAGTAAAAAGTAGGGAACAAAGACAACATTCTGCTCCTCCATGTCAACTTTTTCAACTTTCGACGATGAACAAGATAAGCACAAAAAGGTAGGATTACCATGTTTGTTCCCAAACAGCTTTGCAGCTTACATTATGGAAAATTAAAAACTTCTTGAGAATATAACAAAAGGTTAAAATTCATTCTTATCTTAATTAAATTTAAAGATTGTTCTACAAATTATTTACTCTTCTTAGATTCTATTAAAAATTCATTCTTACACACGTATAAAAATGTATAGATTTACATTATATTAACTTTTTAAAATCAATTCTTTAACTTCAACCTTATAAATTCAACAACATATAATGATTTATAAGTAGAGATTGTCAAGAGTTTCATAATAAAAAAAATTATTAACCGTGGGCATTCAATTTTACACAATGGTTTTCTTAAGATAACTTCTTTGTTGCACATGAGTTCTTGCATTATCTTAAATGCTCAAAAAATGACCCTAACGCATGAGTTTTCCTTAAGATCGATATGGAAAAAGTATACAATAGAGTCGAGCAGAACTTTATTGTAAATGTGATGGGAAAATAGGATTTAATGGTTCTTTCATTCAACTTATTATGAATTGCATTTATTTTTTCTCTTATTGTATTCGTATTAATGGGAAGATTTCAAAAATTTTCAAACCAGAGAGAAGACTTAGATAAGGAGACTCGTTGTCTCTATATCTTTTTCGCTTTTGTTCGTAGGGCTTATCAGCTACACAAATTAATCATTTGTTCTATGCGAATGACAATTTGCTGTTCATTAAAAACTCCATTCAAGAATCAAGACTTAAAGTGGTGTTAGAATTGTATGAAACTTTATCCATACAAAAAAATTAATTATGACAATTCAATGATTTTCTTTAGCACCAACACTAGAAGTGTGGATCTAAGAGAGCTTGTGGAGATTTTTGGAGTGCATGAGGAAGACAACCTCAGTCATTATCTCGGATTATCGCTCACAATTGGTAGAAACAAGATGAGCGTGTTCGGATACCTTTGGGATAAGTCGATATCCGAGTTTCAACAGTCCGAGTAGCACTGATGGTTACTACCTAGTTTCAGCTTAATTAGATTTATAAAGAGAATATACAATATTACAAATTTTAATTGCCGTTTTCATTCAATCGTTTGGGTGTTGTAGTTTGTTATCATGTTAGTCTCACACACAAGAGGTCCCCGGTTCGAACCCGGGCTCAGACATTTTGTTTTTTCTTCTGCTTGTTTATACTTTAGCTGATCCTTCCATGGGAGCAAGCAACTGTTTGTTTGATCTACTTCATTTTTGTTTGTTTCTCCCAACTTTTTTTATTCTTCGACATGGATAAATTTTTAGAGACTGATGCAGCTCTTCTGGACAGTCAAATTTGCAGTATTTGCTTGCTCATGGTCATAGTATACATATTGCCTATTATTCTGTTTTATTTATTGCTTGCATTTGCCCATTTGCTCAATTTCGCTAACATGGATTCACAGAGCACCATGATTACATGAACCAGAAAGTAAACCAGACACTAATGCATCAGTCATGAGGAATGATTCAATCTTTTCCACTTCAACTGAACCATAAGTGAGCTGTGGGAACCAACCTACGAGCCTTTCGGAACGAACCACCACACGGGGACCAAACTTTGGTTCAAAAAAGGTAAGAAACATGGAGTACGCATGCTGATATATGCAAATATACAAATACTTTTAGTGCCTGTGCATCTTAGGTTCATAGCCATCATCTTTCCATAGTTCAGTCACATGAAAGCCACAAAGCACAACAAGCATTTTGAAGTTGGATTGTCAGAAAAAAAAAGTAGGGGAACAAAGATAATATTCTGATCCTAGCCTCCATGTCAACTTTTTCAACTTTCGACCTTCCTCTCTTTGTCTTAGTGGAGTAAGTCCTTGTCTTCTTCTCCAAAATTCCTTTTAAGAAACCATCTTAATGGAAGGTTGATTAGCTTTTGTCATCCCATGGCCCCATTTGTTTCTTTTTGCTCTTCACTTGCATCCATTTCTACTTGTCAAGCATTGAACTCCCATGTGTATATTGTTCTGCAACATATTTTAATCAGCATTACACTGGCGAGTCGTCTTTTCCGGCTATTGATCTCCATTTTTGCTCATCGACAAGGTAAAGTATATCAGCAAAATCGTGCCTATGCTTGACCTGTCGAAGAACGAAGAATTCACTTCAATATAAAATTAAATTATGTATTTGCAGGTGAAATACCATAAACAGCTTTGCAAGCTTACAATGTGGCAAATAACATGAGAACCCTCTTGGGATCAAGCAGCCATGGCGGAGGAGGCCGTCTACAACTATTTCTCCTCGGATTAAATCTGCTTTCGGTTGCTGCAGTGATACTGCCGGTTGTGATGGTTATCTGATGATGAACTTGTTGGTTGGTGGCGGACCGGTAGTCCCGGAAACCACCACATTGGGCTTTTCAGGCAGACAAGACCCTACCAGAGTAGTTGAATTTCCAATAATTCAATGGTCAATCAATAAAATCAATGTAAATTAGCAGGTATTTTCCCCTGAAATTCAAACAATCCATGCAAAAAAGATTGCATCTAAGACAAGTGCATCAACAAAAAGGACAATTGCTCTCAAGAATCTCTACTTTGTACACCAAGCTAATTAAAAACCCAGCAGTACATGGTAAATTTTTCCTGGAATTTTCTTCTGGGGAAGTTGAGATGAAAAAAAGCAAATGGAAAATTGGCAATCCAATTGTGAAGGAAAAGTTTGTACCTCTGGGTGAAGAGGAAACAAAAGAATCTGGTGGCGACCCTTTTCGTGAAAGGCTTCTCTGCAAAAAATTTCTAATCAAACATGTGACATTAAAAATTTACAGCATGTTTGGATTATATCAAAAAAGGAAACTTACTGTGATTCTTGGATTTGGATTCATTTCTTTATTGAATACTCCATTAGAGAAACTTTCCATGTCGATGGCAAAGCAATCGGATTTATCAGTAGTTGTGTATTGGAATCCATTAGTATGATCCAAAATTGAAATCTTTTGAGTGGATTTCTTCTCTTCTGACACACGATCCTCGTAGGAAGATGCTAAATCCTATGAAGAAACAGACCAGACACATTTAGAGGAAAACCAAAACAAAACAAGAAACCCAGAGATATTATACTTACCAACTTTGGATTTTCCTTCATGTCCATCATTTCTCGAGAAAGTGAGGGAAAAATTAACAGAAAAAGAATACAATAAAGGAAGGGTAAGAAGGAAGAAGAAGTGGGATTAAGAGTCTATACAGAGTCAGCAACTGCGTATCCAGTGGGGCAGTCTCAATCAAACCACTTGATTACAACAAAGAGAGTTTCTAACACGAAAAAAACTATTCTTTAAAATCAAAGGAATCTCGTGATTTACAAACAATACTTTTGAGGGGGAAAAACAACAGTTGCAGAAGAAAGACGAGTATTTTTAAATAAAAAGACTGATGAAATGAACCGGCTTTATAAAAACGTTGGATAGTTCCTTGAAGTTGGCAAGTAGGCAAGAGAGGAGAAAGAGACGAGCTTAAAATACTTATTGTAAAGGGTAAAGTACACCAATAGTCCCTAAATTGTTATTTTTGTTTCATTTTGATAACTGAATTTTTAATAATTACAAATGATCTTTGAATTTATTACAATATTATATTTTGGTCACTCCACTGCTGCTAAATGACATAATGTGACACGTTAACTCAATCATTAATATCTCATATAACTTCTCAATTATACTTTGATCATTTCACCGTTTTTTAGAATTATTGCATACCAATATTATTAAAGTGTTAAAATGAATTTTTAGTTATAATTAAGGGTTCAAATGAGATATTAATCATTAAGTTAACAAAAAATGTTATCTCCATTAACGACATGTAACAACAGAGTGACACAAATATAACTTTTTAATAAATTTAATGATTATCTTATAATTTATAAAATATTTAGACTAAAATCAATGTGGCCCCTAAACTTATTTTGAATCCAACGAAACTCCTAAATTGAGAAAAAAATCAAAACGACCTTTTGACTAACTAAACAAAGTTCAGTGCTACAATTAAAGTAATTGAAAGTTAAGCGATATGAACGATATAATATCTAATCTTTAGTAGTGTCTATTATAGTTTATCCTAAAATAAAATTTACCATTAAACTTTATTTTTATAATTTTAATATTTCCAAATAAGCTTTCAAAATTAAGTTAGGAAAATTATATGAATCATATGTTGTGTAAAAATTTACACAAGCACATCTATTTTAATTGTCATGTGTCATAAATTTTAGGTTTTAGGATTTAATTTAAGGTTTAAGTTTTAAGAATTAGATTTTAAGATTTTAGATTAAAATATAAAGGTTGTATAAAATAAATTCAATACAATTTATGTATCAAATAATAATATTTAAAGAAAAAAATATCCAATACACATTGCATAAACTAAAATTTGTACAAATTTTTTTAACGCAATTGTGTCTATATAAGTGTGCGTTATCAATGGTTAAGAAAGATTCTGAATATATATTATCTTGTAATTATCTCAAATTATTTAATAAAAAAATATATAAAGTTTATGATTTTAAGTTTTAGGATTTAGGACGATAAAATTTAAGATTTATGATTAAAATAGACATCTTAGGTATAGAATAATAACCTTTAATTAAAAGATGTAGAAATTAAAATATAAGATTATATCTCAACGCAGATAATGTTATGAATTAATTTATATAAAATAAACACATAATTTAATTACAATAGCAGTTGTCGTGGAGGCAACGTTTTTTGCAAGCTCATGTATTTTGCACTATCGAATAATTTAATTTTAGGTGTACAATTACACCCATCAACATATATATATTTTTAATCTTAAATTACCAACAAATTTATAAATAATTGTTTTAAATTTCGTATACAATAAACTAGCACGAATCAAGCGACCTCGATAGTAAAATAATTGTTGTTATTCTTTGAGATCTCGGATTCAAGCACCATCAATATCAGTGGTACGAGCATTCAATGTCAAAAAATTGAGTTTATCTTTAAACATATTATTTTATAGTTACCTCAAATTATTCATTATATATATTGATTCTATTAACAATTTTATTTTTCTTTAATACTCGCTTCCCATCATATGATTCTATGAACAATTTTTTCTCCTTCTTTATTATATATATTGATCATCGAATTTAATTCTTTTAAATTATTCGTTTAATGAATCATATTACTGATTACGGAGATTCATCAATGAAGTTTCCTTCTAAAAAGAAGTATTAAATGTGCAGTTCGTTACCCAAATTTGAAAGCACAATTAAGCACTGTTTAATTACAATATTAAATAATGCTAATTATTCGAACGAATTAATAAAAATGTATAATTATAGGAAAAAAATACTTTGCATTTGAACATAATAAAGACAGTGAAACCAAAATTTGACATTTTGAAGTTCATAGTTTAGGCAGAAAAAGAGGTATTTTTGGAGGAAGTGAGCTGTTTCTTTTATAGCAATAATAAGAGCACAAAATCAAAAGTTTTGAGCAGCGGCATGACACAACTTTACCCAGCAACAAGCAGCTTAAGGATCAAAAGACTATATATAGTGTTAAATGCTATAGGGCTCATTGCTCCAATTTAATGGTACAAATTAAAGGCTTAAACTTAGGGTTAAGGCCTTTTGTCACGTGTAATCAAAGCAGTACGTTTGCTATGCCGAAACCATTTTTAGGTTTGAAAAATATTTTATTTTGAAAGAATTGGATCGTCATTGGTTATTTTGGGTTAAAAATGATTAAATACTCATCAAATCATCCTTTTAAAAAGTTTTGAAATATCATTTTGAAAGACAAATATTGCTATAATTACTAGAGGATCATGAATAGTCTCCTCAAGGACTTGAGCAGAGTCCAAGTCCTCAAAACTGACCTTACAGTCCTCAGAATGTCTAGGTCTTTTCGCCATCGTTTTCAAAGATATTGACCCTTAGCGACAGTATCAGATTTAGGGTGAAAAGGGTCCTTAATAGATGGTGGTATGTGGTTTGCAGAAGAGATTCCGGCAGAAGATTTTTTAATTTAACTGCCCTTTGCTTCTGTTTTTATAGTGCCCCGGCCTAGGTCCCCTTAAACTATGGGTTATGTGTATGAATTTGGGATATGGATGTAGTGGAGTCAGAAGGATAGTTTGAGACTTTACCAGCAATCGAGGATTTGAATTCAGTGGAAGATTGGATCGAATTAGAAGTAAGATTAGATCCAAATTTATTCGGACCAGACTAAAATTGATTTTTTACATGTTAAAAAGTCTCCATCAAGGCTAGGGACCACCCGTTAAGTCATTTACATATATATATATATATATTCCATATGTTTATTTTACTAATATTTCATGCCAAGTCGGGTTAACCCATGAATGGACACCTTTCACATTTCATGCCAAGTCATTTTATTCACTCGGCACTTGGACAATAACATTTTACATTCAAACGTTTACTCTGGGCATTTTTGGTCCCCTCTTGTCTTGTAATTATCATTGATAGGTAACAAAGGCCCCACTTTACATGGATTGATCTTGCTCTTGCTCATCCTCCCTATCCACTTTACAAAGGCGCCAATGAGTCCTCTGTTTCTCCACAAAATCGACCTACATGTACAAGTGGAAGTGGAAAGAAAACGCTAGTAACGTGTAGCTCTTACAATTGGATCAACATTGTTGCTGGTAACGTGCTGCTCGATTTCGACACGAACACAAAAATTTCGGATTTTGGAATGGCAAGAATCTTGACCAGAGCTGATAGCGAAGCTAACATAGCACGAATAGTCGGAACAAAGTATATGGCTCCAAAGAACGCTATGGATGGATTCTATTCGATTAAGTCCGATGTTTTCAGCTTTGGAGTAATGCAAGTATTCATGCATATCGGACTGTTGTGCGTTCAAGAAGACGCATTTGACAGGCCTTCAGGCTTCATGTCATCTGTTATGATCATGTTAAAAGGTAAAACCCTGACACTAAGCTAACCACAACAGCCTGCCTTCTCTATAGGAAGATTTGCCAATCATCATCAAACATTCACTAGGAGTTGCTCTGCCTACGGTTTATCGATTCCGAGCATCGTACCTAGATGATTGACCCTCGGTACTCAGGTGATGCCGGGAATTCGATCTTGTCTTTACATAAATGTTTCTGCCATGATGATAACTTCATTTGGAAGAAACTTAGAATTAGTAATCCTAGAGATAGTATGAAATGGTAAGTTTGTGACAAAGCAACAATGAAAATGAAAGCTCCAATTGGCAACAAAGGCTACCATTGCAGCAGCCAAGAATATATTATACGAATATCCCAAGTAGACGGCAAAAAACCAAGCCATTGATTATGAACCATTCAAATTCAATCATTTTACACTCTTGAGATATTTTTGCAGCAGATATTTTGATCAAGACACAATGGCCAATGCAGCTTTTCAGATATTTTCATCTCTCTCCTTTCTGGAAAACAGCTTAAATACCCTAAATTGGCATTCATCACTCCAAACCATATCCCCTTCATCTACCACATAAACGTACCCGAAAGATCAATGGCAGCCATGGCAACAGCTCTCACCTCACTTTCTTCAAGCCCCAAACCATCTTTCCTTGACCACAAGTCATCTTTCAATGGCACCCCGATTCCGTCTCGCTTCACTCCGATTAAATCCACCTCGCAAAACTCCACCATTTCCATGTCCTTGACCCCTCCTTATGACTTGCAATCCTTCAAATTCCAACCCATCAAAGAATCCTACGTTTCCCGTGAAATGACACGCCGCTACATGATGGACATGATCACCTACGCAGACACCGATGTTATAATCGTCGGCGCCGGTTCCGCAGGCCTTTCTTGCGCGTACGAGATAAGCAAAAACCCCAACATCCGTGTCGCCATAATTGAACAATCCGTCAGCCCCGGCGGAGGTGCATGGCTTGGCGGGCAGCTATTTTCGGCCATGGTCGTTCGGAAACCGGCACACAGGTTCCTCGACGAGCTCGGCATCCAGTATGATGTACAAGAAGATTACGTGGTCATAAAGCATGCGGCTTTGTTCACATCGACAATCATGAGCAAGCTCTTGGCAAGGCCTAATGTAAAGTTGTTCAATGCCGTGGCGGCCGAGGATTTGATCGTGAAAGGGAACCGAGTCGCCGGTGTGGTGACGAACTGGGCCTTGGTGTCGATGAACCACGACACACAATCTTGTATGGACCCGAACGTGATGGAGTCCAAGATTGTGGTCAGTTCTTGTGGACACGATGGACCATTTGGAGCCACTGGAGTCAAGAGGTTGAAGAGCATCGGCATGATCGACAATGTTCCCGGAATGAAAGCACTGGACATGAACACGGCGGAGGATGCAATCGTCAGGCTTACAAGGGAAATTGTGCCTGGCATGATTGTAACTGGGATGGAAGTTGCAGAGATTGATGGTGCTCCAAGAATGGTAAACAACAATTCAATAAATTTTTAATTTTGATTTGAGTTTTTGAAGTTTTATAATGAAAGAAATTGTGGGTTTTGTTTTTGAAGGGGCCGACATTTGGAGCAATGATGATATCTGGGCAGAAGGCAGCACACTTGGCTTTGAAGGCATTGGGGCAGCCAAACTCCATTGATGGGACCTTGAGCGAAGCTGAAAGAGTAGAGTCGCAGCCAGAGTTCGTTCTTGCTGCCTCTGAAACAGAGGAGACTGTGGATGCTTGATTGGATAAATTTTCAGGAAATATTGGACTAAATAAAGAAACATGTGGATGAAATTAAGCCTTTGATGGATTTGATGCGAGTGAAAGGTGGACTTTTGTTTTGATTATTGTCCATGTAATGTTTGAAAATGAAGAAAAATAATACCAGATTGAGAAATTATTGAAGATAACATTTGCTCTCATGTATGATTTTTCTAATGATTCAAATTTTAAATAAATAAATTTAGATTTAAAATTAAATTATCATAACGAAACCATACAAATTGTAAAGTAAATTGAAACAAATGAGAAGAGAACTTATATATATATATATATATATTGGTCTCTTAATTATGTGATAATGTTTTGTTGAGTTCACCTATTATTAAAAGTTGTAAAATAGTAATCAGATTATTAATATGTTCAAAACCCGTCATTTTTCGTTAAGAAATTAATGATCGTCTGAGCTGGACATTAACCTACCGATTGAGATATAATAAAATCATATTTTAATGATGTCTACTGACAACGCCTTTGATTTTAAACATCGACTAGAAGATATAATTTTTAAAGAACTGGTTCGATGACAATATAAATAAAGACATAATCCATAAAATATAGCTCAAACGGTTCTATGATCAAATTTTATTATATCTTAGTAAGCATGTAATGTCATACTCAGACAATCGTTATTTTTTTAATGAAAAAGAATAAATTTAAAACATACGAATAATCAAATAAATATTTTATAACGTCTAATAGTAGGAGATTATGGAAAACATTTTGCAACTTTCAATCACATGTTAAATCGAGTAAAGAACCATAATCTCGTAAATAATCCTAAATATAGACGATGATATTAACATTATTACCGACCCTAAATACTCTGATTTTCACAATTTTCAATTAAATCTTTTGGATTTTTGCCACAGAGAATGAACTCTTGTACCGTTTACTGAAGATCTTTCGAATTTTGCAACAGAGAATGAACCCCGTATACCTTTTCTCATATCCTTCACTTTTTTCTCCTATATTACAAGAACTCTCTAATCTACCCTTGCGTAATTGTAAATTATTCCCCAATAATTTAAATCTTTTAGTAGAATTATACTCTCTTATTTTCCTCGCCCAACTTTCAATTTTTTTAATTTGTTTATTGAACTTTACAAATTGAATCATTTTCCACCACCATTAACTATTTAACGTTGTTATGACATTTCACAAGAAATTACATAAGCATCAAAACGACGTCGTTTTGAAAAACTTAAATATACACTAAAACATTCAAAACGACGGCGTTTCGAATACATTATAAAATATTTTTCTTCTTCTTCTATTTTTTATTGTTCCTTTTTCTTCCCAAACTTTCTCTCTACTTTGCAACTGGTTACTACTGCGCCACCACACTATTTTCATTCCGACCACCGTCCACCTTCGTTGATGGTGGCCATTCGATTCCAAATTTAATGGGTAAGTTCATCTCAACCCCCTGAGTCTGAATCTAGTGTTTTTTCACCGAAAAATGTCACAAAACACGTGAATCTGACTGAAATTTTGCTTCTTCACTTTCAATCTCAAATTCGTGGACTACGGAGTAAGTTCCGATAAAATGGAGGTCGGATTCGAATTCATGGTGTCGAGGTGAAGCGACCCATGAAATTTGAGATCGAATGACCACCATCTGCGGTGGTCGATGGTGGCCAGTAGTGACATCCGACCACCTTCAATTTTTTTGTTAACGACGTTAGAGAAACAACAAGGGAGTAAGCAAAATGATTCAATTTGTAAAGTTCTGTGAGCAAATTAGAAAAATTAAAAGTTTGGTGAGGAAAATAAGAGAAATAGTATAGTTCGTGAGAACGTATAATTTACCAAAAAAAAGCAAGAAACATTTAATAAGGTGAAACAGTTGATCAAGTTTTTAATTCCACGCGTTGATATGACATTATTTATTTGTGTGCGCTAAGTTAGTAATTCATTAATGGTCTAACGTGTTAGTGACCAAACTGTTAAAATTGATAATATAAATGAGAATAAACAAATTGTAGTCTAGATCAACTTAATTAAAGTTCAGTTAATTTTCAAATTGGAAGACTCGACTCAAATTCTTAACAAGTCAAAGTGAGCTATTTGATACTAGACTCAAAAAACTTACGAGCAACTCGAAAAAATATAATATATTAAAATTTTTAAATTAAATTAGTAATAATATTAATATATATATATTAAAAATACAATATAATTGCATGTATTTATGATTCAGGTTTGAGCTCGAATCGAACTATTATAATATTTCGAATTCAAGTTTTTTTGAGCTTTAGTCAAACTTCAATTTTTGATTTCGAGTCAAACTTAAAAATTTTAATCTCGGAGTTTTCGGTTGAGTTGAGCTTCAATTTTTTATTTCGAGTTCGATTAAACTTTGAGCTCATGAGTTTAGAGTCTAGTCGAAATCAATTTTACTCCTTGTCGAACTCACAATATTCTAATTCGACTGGTTTACTACATCAATTAGAAGAACGACAACTTGGGAAATGGAAAATCCAACCTCATAAATGTGAACTTTCTAATCCTATGGTACATATTCAAAGCTAAAACAAGGAAATTGTGATGTTCTGAATTGTCAAAACTTCAACACTACTTTACTTAGAAAGCGGGGCAAGACTTAAAGCTAAATTCCATAGACTTTTTGTAAAGTTATCGTTTTTGGATTTTCTAAGTGAAAATAGGTGGTTTTTGTGTTAAATAAAAAAAATGGCACTTCATTGCAGTATTTTACATGACTAGTTATATGATGGCTGATTCCTTCACCAAAATCGTCCTTGTATCTGCTTTTCTTTCAACCTTTAGCTTCACCAGTTCAACGGACTCATCCGCTGGTACTACTTCTGTTCCAATCAACCTCGTTGGCAAGAACAGCATCTACGCCACTAATATCAATCACCTCTTCTCTTATCTCTTAAACAATGCAACGGAGCACGATGGATTCTTCAACACCACCGCGGGACAGGGGTCTAACATGGTGTATGGTCTCTTTCTCTGCCGTGGGGATGTCCGCCCCGAAAGTTGCCGTGACTGCATCGACCATGCTGCGCCGACGTAGCTCAGCTTTGTCCTAACCAAACTTGGGCTATCGTTTGGTATGAAAAGTGCATGCTACATTATTCGAACCTTTCCATCTTTTCCTCCATGGCAGAAAGGCCCAGGATAAGCTTGTCGTACAATGAAGATGTCATGGAACCAGACCGCTTTAACCGCTGCTGGCAACTGTGATGAAAGATATTGCATCTCAGGCTTCGAATGCTACATCGGGGACTAAAAAGTTTGCTACGAAAGAAGCAACTTTTACGGTGTTCCAAACACTTTACAGTCTAGCACAGTGCACACCGGACATTTCAAGTGACGATTGCTACAGATGCATCCAGAGGCTATTGCAGAATTGCAATTTCGTGTCAGTGGATTGACATCAGGATTTACTATGTTCCCTAGCTGTACTGCTCAATATCAGACTATCCCATTCTATAATCTAAACCAAACTGAATCAGCGCCGCCCCAGTCTCGCCTCAACATTCTCATCTACTTTCTCCCCCTCCTCCAGGTCCGTTTAATAGATCAAACTATTGTAGTCCTATGTTGTTCTGCCATTTATCTCTTTCTTTATACAGGTAAGAGGGGGATATCATCACAGAGAGTAATCGAAATTGTTGTTCCAACTGTTGGCAGCTTCTTGGTTTTGTCCAGTTTCATATGTTGTGTTCTAGGTCGGAAAGCAAGCAAGAAACTAACCAGAAATGGTAAGCAAGAGTTTCTAACATGTTTATATAATTCAGAAAGAGGAAAGCGTTTGGCCAATGACATTCACAGTGTTTATAATTTGCAGACGGAATGCAATCCCTGCAATTTGAGTATAGTATAATTGAAGCAGCCACAAACAACTTTGCTGAAGTTAACAAGTTGGTGATGGTGGATTTGGCAGTGTATACAAGGTGAGGAACCATATAAATTATTTTCATTCGTTTTGGTTAGAGAGTTCAAAACAGCTCCATGGTTCATTATTTCATTTGTGTTTTATCAGGGTATACTCCCCAATCGGAAAGAAATAGCTGTGAAGAGACTATCAACAAGCTCTGGTCAAGGCACGGATGAGCTTCAGAACGAAGTTGAATTGGTAGCCAAACTTCAGCATCGGAATCTTGTGAAGCTATTTGGATATTGTCTCGAAAAGAAAGAGGGATGCTTGTCTATGAGTTTGTGCCCAACAAAAGCCTAGATCACTTCATATTTGGTTTGGCCCTTTGACACACGAGCTTTTAGTTTTCACCAGAAGACTTGATCATGATAAACAGCTATTTTTCTTTTGATGTATCATTTCAGATCCTGAAAAACAAAGACAGTTGGATTGGTCCAACGATACAAAATCATTAAAGGGATTGCTCGAGGAATTTTGTACCTTCATTCGGATTCACGCCTCAGAATCATACACCGTGATCTTAAAGCCGCTAATATTTTATTAGACGAGGACATGAACCCAAAGATTTCTGATTTTGGCATGGCAAAGCTTGTTGGGGAAAATAAAAGCCTACAACATACCAAAAGAATTGTCGGCACATAGTGAGTTAATTCCCCAAGCGACTATATCTTCCTTTAACTTAGGTATCATGTAAACCTCTGTTTTGATATTGATGCCTTATGTTTCCTATGTTGCAGTGGTTACATGTCTCCGGAATATGCAATGCATGGACGATTCTCAGATAAGTCGGATGTATTTAGTTTTGGTGTTTTGATACTGGAAATTGTAAGTGGCAAAAGAAATACAAGTTTCTGTCATTCTGCGCATGCCGATAACCTTCTGACTTATGTAAGTCCCAGATTTTTTTTTCCTTCAGGTCTCAAACTAAGATATACACGGACAAATATTTTCTAGAAAAAATTCTGATTATTTCTTTTGTGCAATATTCACACCCGAGTTAGCTAGGAGTTTGTTCTCTGCTTGCATTAATTGGTCTCTTGTTAAGGGAAGCTGAATTTGGGAAAATATTAGGGACAAGAAGGGGAAGGTGCTGTAGCATAGGCTAATATGGTTTCCCTCTCATATTTCTGAGCTTTCATCATTGCTTGGATGATCATTCTAGAGAGGTTGCCTATAAAAGATAGGTTAACTCGGTTTAGAATTGTTACGGATGATGCTTGTGGTTTATGTGGTATTATCGGGGAGTCGAGGAATAACCTATTTTCTTATTGTTCTTACTCGAAAGGGTCTGGGGGAATGTCATGCTGGTATGCAGACTGCATCATAGGCCTTTTGTGTTGGGATGATAGTTTATTGTGGGCTGTAGATAATTTGAAGGGATATTTCTTATTGTTAGAATTCTCAAGCTGACTTGGACGAGTATTCTGTATTGCATTTGGGAGGACCACAACCGCAGGTGGTTTAGAGGTGCTCAGAGCTCGGTTGATGACATTGTAAGGTGTATAAAGGAGATTGTTCGTATTAGATTGTATAGACATTGTATTGACAAGAATGATAGGATTAATATACATTTGTGCATTGATTGAGGGATCTTGTAGGTCAAGATATCTCTGTACAGGTTGTCTTCGTTTGTAGTAAATTGTGCTGCTTTCTTGGATAATATAAACGACAACAAATACTTATCCAAAAAAAAAAAAATCAAACCCGAGTTCGAACAGATGTGTATTGACAAATGTTAATTCGTGGTTGTTTGCAGGCGTGGAGACATTGGAAAAACGGGACACCACTAGAACTGATGGATTCAACCTTACGAGAGTCTTATGTAAGTGATGAAGTAGCTAGGTGCATTCATATCGCTTGTTGTGCGTTCAAGAAATTCCAGAAGCAAGATCAACGATGGCGAGAGTTGTTGTCATGCTTAGCCGCTCATCGGGTACTTTACCATTACCTCAACGACCGGCCTTCTTTTTCGGCACCACGAGTACTGTTTCATCATCGCCGGCCACCGTTAACGACACATCCGTTACTGAGTTATTCCCTCGGTAAACTGTTTCGATCCGTTTTATACAGCATTACGCGTCCATGACTTTTATTTTCAGCGTTGCTCCCTGTTTTGGGTAAGAAAAATCACGTCTTGTCCACTCAATGGCTCAACGTGCTCTATTTTCTCCATAGAAATAATTGTGGCCTAATAACGTTTCCTACCTCGAAATATGATTCTTTATTATTAGGCTACAATTATTTCCATAGAGAAAATAGAGTACGTTTTAGGCCACAATTATTTCTATGGAGAAAACAGAGTACGTTGACCCATTCAGTACATATCACGTTATTTTTAGCGATTTTTTTTAAATATCAAATGTATTTTAAGGTAAAATTTAGGTGCTAAAAAGTATATTAAAAATTTTATAAATATATAAAATTTTAAATTTTATAAAAAGATACTAAAATATATGAAAACTGGCAAAAAATAATTCAGATTTATTTAACAGGTTTATTATTCTTTTAATCAATTCATTTAATTTAAAAAGTTAAAATTTTGACGACCCAATAAACAAAATATCTAAAGATTAAAATTTTTTTTCTAAAAGAAGTTTTGGCAAAACAATTGCTTGTTATATATATATTATGAATCTGATTTCAGCTTAAACTCGATTCGAGTTCTTAAAGAGTTGAAGCTAGTTATTTAATATCAACTCGAAAAATCGTAAGCAACTCGAAAAGTAATATATTAGATTTTCTAAATTTTTAAATTAATTATTAATAAATTAATATTTATATATATATTTAAATACAATATAAGATTTTCATATACTTAATGTTCGTATTTAAGTTTGAGTTTGAACTGAGCTCAAGTTCGGACTTCAATTGAGCTAAGTTCAAGAATGTTTCGAATTCAAGTTTTTTCGAGTTTGAATTGAATTTCAATTTTGAATTTTGAATCGAACTTGACAATTTTAAGTTTGCAAGCTTTCAAATCGAGTCAAACTCATTTTTCGAATCAAACTCTGTAGTACTCAAACTCGACTTGTTTATAGTCATGACCAAAATAAAGGTTAATGCTCATATCAAATGAGGATTATGAAGAAATGCCCATACTAAATAAAATGGTAAAAAGAATATTCCTGATGAACTCCTAGAATTGTACAAAATATGTACCATTAGCAATATTCATAAGGTTAAGTTCACTATTGTTATTTTATTTGTTTAATTAGTAATTAATTTTTAATTATCTCTATTTATTTATTTTAAATACCTTTTAACAAAGTATCAGATTCACTGCAGTGTATTAATAGATTGATAATATATCAAATACTTACAAGGATATCTAATTACGTTAATTTGCTTAAATTATTGGTTAAGTAATAGCATAATCAGCCATTAATGCCAGGGCCAGGCATGCAACAGCTTGGAAGTTTCAAGTTTATTACTTTCAGCTGATTCCTTAAGATATTCTCAGCCGAAATTCTTGACTGTCCCCTTCTTATTTTCAGATTACATAAGCGGGGTCGATTAAAATTCAATTAAAAATTGGTTTTAAATTATTTAAGTTAATTTAATTTTTTTACTTGATTTTTCAGTTTGATTCGAATTTATATTTATAAAATTAAATAATTTAAATATTAAATATGATTTTTTCTTTAATTAAGTAGTTTGATTTGTGATTTAATCATTCATATAAATTTTCGTTATTTTTAATACTTTAATCAATATTATTTATATTTTTTATCATGATATTGATGAAAATATTCAAAAATAAACTTTATAAACAACATATGTATAAACTGTATGAACCAAGCGACTCAATAATAAATGATTTGTTATTATTTCTTGAGGTTTAGATTTGAACACTATAAATATAAGTGTGAGCGTTAAATGTCAAATGCCTTGTACTTATATATATATATATATATATATATATATAAAAGCTGAGTTCACACTTTCATTATTTTTAAATATTTTCATTAACACCGTTTATGTACTCAAATTATTATAATTTACTTGATCGGATACTCACACCTAATTTCATGATATTTATCTTAATTAATTTTTTACTTTAATATATCTGAGGTGAATATAAGTAATATACCTTCAAAGACTTTTTTTTCAATAAATAAAATTGCAATTATCGAATCAAAATGAGTACATCATGAAATATATATTATTTAATTAATTTTTTTAAATTTTAATACATAAAATATTTCCAGCGATTTTTAGATATAGTGTATATAGTAGACTTGTCCATCATGAAAAAGAATCATTAGTACTAGCAAATCTTATTACTTTAATTATTTTATTTTTTAAAGTAATTGTTTTATTAATTACGATTATATTTATCTATATATTATTTATTTGTGTGTATGCGTTTTTTTTTTAATTTTATATATAATCACATCATTAGCATATAAGATATAGTTTTTGAAATACAATTTAGTTTTGATATCCTTTATAAAACAATATTAAGTTGACCATAGTTAATGGCCAGCTATAAATCAATATATTATATGGCATGGTCCCTTCACATTTAGACTATATTTTATTAAACTTTAATGATTTGGGTGAAGTATACAAATGGTCATCCGATTATAAGACACTACTTTGTTGAGTCATTTAATTATTAGACATTGTTTTATTGAGTACCCCAACTATTAAAGGTTACAAAATGGTCACCCGACTGTTCATATGTTCTAAACTTGTCATTTTCCGTTAAAAATTGTTGGTTGTCTGAGTTGTACGTTAACCTGCTGATTGAAATATGATAAAATTATATTTTAATAATGTCTACCGGTACCATTGTTAATAATTTATCGATTATATAATGTTTCAAGCACTGACTCGACGATATAATGTAAATAAAGACTAGATCCAAAAAATAAAACTAAAAAAATTCTAAGATCAAATTTGTATCATAATCGAACGAACATGTTAACGCCAAGCTCAAACAACTAATTTTTTAATGAAAAAGACGAGTTTATAATATATGAATAGTCAAATGATTATTTTGTAACTTTTAATAGTCAGAAGACTCAACGAACATCACCTTATAGTCGAATGACTATTTTATAACTTTTAATAGTCAGGACTCAACAAAACAACACCAAAGAGTCGGGCGACCATTTGTGTACTTTACCCTAATCTATATTACTTTGATTTGTTATTTTCTTCAACTCTTCCACAAAGCTCTATTGCCTTCAATCCATGTTCAAATTAACAAGACGAACTTTGATAGTGATTGATGCCTTCCTTTAAGCTAATTTCCTTTTTGATTCTGTTTCTCTACTTCTTTGATCTCTCAGCGGAAGCCAACCCAAGTTTCTTGTACAATTTCTGTTATGACAACCACACCACTTTCACAAGAAACAGCACCTATGCTACCAATCTCAATCTCCTCCTCTCTTCTCTCTCCTCCAACGCCCAGCGGAGTGATGGATTCTACAACACCACGGTGGGACAACGGCCGCCCGACAGAATCTATGGTCTCTTCCTTTGTCGAGGGGATGTTACCTCTGATGTTTGTCGAGACTGTGTCACTGCTGCTGCCAGGAATGCTACTATAATTTGTCCCGTGGAGAAGAACTCTGTGATTTGGTACGATACGTGCATGCTACGTTACTCCAATGAATCCATATTTTCGTTGATGGAAACCAGGCCCGGCGGGACCGTATGGGATAACGACACCGTCACGGAAGAAGAGGACTTTATCAACATAGTGGCTTCATTGGTGAAAGATGTAGCGAGCGAGGCAGCGGATGCTCCATTGGGTGCTACGAAGTTTGCAACCAAAGAGGTGAATCTTAGTGGCTCTCAAACGTTGTACAGCCTTGCACAGTGCACGCCGGATATTTCCGACATAGGTTGCAGTTTATGTCTTCAGGATGCTATTACACAGTTCTCGGATTGTTGTCGTCGAAAAGAGGAAGCAACTCGAGCGAGCTCGTTGTTGCCTAGCTGCAATGTTCAGTATGGATTAACCCCATTTTATAACAAAATTGCAGGGGATCTATCGCCGAGACATCCAGGTTTGCCTATAGGATAATTTGTGCTATTATAGAGTACTGTATTATGCAACACAAAGGCAAAGCTCACTTGTAGTCTTCATGTAGGGAAACGGAAGACCTCATCACAGAAAATCATTTACATTATTGTTCCAGTTGTTGCTTTCTTGGTGATTTTGTTTACATTTTGTTGCTGCATTATAAGAAGGAAAGCAAGGAGGAAACCCAATTTGCTAAATGATCAGAAAGGTAGGCATATGGCTAAAATATTCTATATTTGCTCTTTTTGAAATGAATTACCCTGCAACTAATGTCATGTGAACTGCCTGATCATCATAATAGATAGATAAAAGCATGGCCAGAACCATGAATTCTTTACAATATGACATGAGCACAATCGAACCTGCTACGAACAACTTCTCCGGTGCTAACATGATTGGTGTCGGGGGATTTGGCAGTGTGTATAAGGTACAAGTCGATATGATAATCATAGCATTGTCCGAATCCGTTAACTTTAGAGCAATTTGATCTATTGATTTGTTAACAATAGCTTAAGCACTAGTGTAATGACTTTGGTGTTCACTCAGGGTACACTTTCAGATGGACAAGAAATTGCAGTGAAAAGGCTATCAAGAAGTTCTAAACAAGGAGCAGAAGAATTCAAGAACGAGGTTGCGTTGGTAGCCAAACTTCAGCACCGGAATCTCGTAAGATTGTTGGGGTTTTGCCTCGAAAAAGATGAGAGGATTCTCGTCTATGAATTCGTCCCCAACAAAAGCCTGGACTACTTCCTATTTGGTCTGCCCTCTTCAACTTAAAGCCTTGAACCAAAACATACATATATGCCCTGGATTAAACTGTTACCTATGGATATACTGAGGTTGTTCTGTATGCAGATACTGAGAAGCAGAAGCAATTGGATTGGCCGACACGTCTCAAGATAATCAAAGGAACCGCTCGGGGACTTCTATATCTCCATACAGATTCAAGGCTCAAGATTATACATCGTGACCTAAAACCGAGTAATATCTTGTTGGATGAGGATATGAATCCCAAAATATCAGATTTTGGGATGGCTAGAATTGTTGAAGAAAATCACAGCCTTGAACATACCAAGAAGATTGTTGGGACATAGTAAGTTCCCCATTCAATAATCTATATTTCTACAACTGATAAATAACATCAATACAAGTAGACTAACAAATCCTCCCATCTTAGTGGTTACATTGCTCCAGAATATGCATTTCATGGGATTTTCTCTTTTAAATCCGATGTGTATAGCTTTGGTGTATTGGCACTGGAAATAGTAGGTGGTAAAAAAAACTCCAGTTTCTACAATCCTGACAGTGTTGAGAACCTTATAAGCCATGTAAGTCCAACACATAGTTTATTTTAGATCATAAAAGCATTCTATGAAGATGATTACACAACAGTGTTGGGATTATTGCAGGCTTGGAGGTATTGGAACGAGAGGACGCCGCTGGAGATGATGGATCCAAGTTTAAGAGATTCTTATGTGAGTGATGAAGTCATTAGGTGCATTCAGATCGGTTTGCTTTGCGTCCAACAAAATCCGAAGTCGAGACCGACGATGGCGAAAATTGTTCCAATGCTTAGCAGTTCTGCTATTACTTTACCAGCGCCACAACAACCGGCCTTGTGTTTCGGTACTAAGACAAGAGGAAGCACTTCAAGTGCAGAGATGGGGTTGGATCAGTCAACAAAGAGGTTCCAATGCTCAAATGATGTATCTATCACTGAATTTTACCCTCGGTAGTAAGTTGAATCCATTTTTTTGAAAAGAGAAATGAAATATACTGTCTTCCATTAATTTTATGTAAAGGTTCTAAGTTGAGCCTTTTTTGTTTGATAGCTCTATGTATATTTACACGAAAGAAGCAACGATTTTCTTGTCAAAGATACAGAAAATATGCAATTCAAGTACTTGGTAAGTATCAGCGGGGATTCAAATAACGGTCGAATAGTAGAATAGCGGTCCCGGCGGTGTACGAAATCATTATTGCGGAAAATTGCAATGTGCAACGAATCACATCAACAGCGGTGGATTACGGTCACAATTTAACGAGTAGCGATCAATAGTGACAATGGCGGGCTGCTATCCCGTTATTGTTCCGTTATTCTAATTTTTTTTATTAATGAATAAAAATTAGAATAAAGCAAAGTCAATTGTTGATTTAGACAAAGCATTAATAAAAGAATAATTTACTAAGACAAAGCATTAATAAAAGAATACCTAAGTTTAGTATTTTTATTCATGATCAACAATTGACTTTGCTTTTTATTCCACTCTAGTCTAAATCAACCGCGTTTTTTGGTTTCTTTAATTTAATAAATTAAAGTATGCTTCAAGCATGAATCATCTTCAAGAATAATAGTCAAACATTTTACATTATATATATTGTCATAAAAAATATTCTTCAACATTTTCAGAAATAATTACATCCTGGTCAACTCAAATAGTTGGACAATTTTCCAATTCACATGATAGAGTGAGCATTGATGATTATATTATAGACTCTGAAAATCATTAGTCTGATACGCTTTGAAGAAGAGGAAACAATGGATTCTTCATTGAAGTTTTTGTTCATTTCTTTCACTGTTACCTTCCTTCTTACTCTCAACTTTGCCCAAGAAGAGTTTTTAGACTATTCCTGTATGGAAACCGGTGGCAATTTCACCCGAAACAGCACCTATGAGACAAACATTGATCGTCTCCGGTTGTCCTTCTCTTCCAACACAGCAGATGATTATGGATTCTACAACATATCGTCTGGGGTCGGCTCCGAAAGAGTTAACTCGGTTGCACTTTGCAGAGGAGATGTAGGATCGGCCGATTGCCTTGGCTGCATCAATAACGCCATGGCTGAGCTGAGAAGTCTTTGTCCCAACCAGAGAGAAGCGATAATCTGGTATGACAATTGCATGTTTCGTTACACTAATCGATCCATCTTTGGTGTTGTGGAAGATGACCCTTTGGTGTACATGTGGAACGAAAATAATGTGACGGATGTGGATGCTTTTAATCGGTCTCTGAGTGCCTTGTTGGATAGCCTGAGAAATAGTGCCTCATTGGGACTTCCGGTCGTAAGTTCGCAACCGGAAGTGCACGAGTTACGCCTTTTCAGACAGTTTATGCACTTGTTCAATGCACCCCTGATTTATCCAGGTTGAATGCAACTCTTGCTTGTCTGCGGCCATTGAATTCATCCCCGAATGCTGTGATAGAAAACAAGGTGGCAGAGTACTCGAGCCTAGCTGTAATTTTAGGTTCGAGATCGAACGCTTCTATAATCTTACGATGGCTGATACACCACTACCATCAGCACCACCCCGTCATCTCCGCCCTCGAACGACACCACGAATTCAACAGGTACCCTCTCTGCTTTGTTTTCTGAAGTCAACAGGTTATAAACATTTCCATCTTGTATGAAAAGGGATGTGTGAAAACTTTTGCAGGAAAAAGGAACAATTCGTCTCGGATTATTACCATTGCAACGGTTTCGGCTGTTGCTTTTGCGGCACTCGTTGTTTCCAGTTGCATCTTATTCTTTCTAAGGGTGAGGAAGTCGAAGCTGAAACCTGAAAGTAAGTGAAAACAATACTTTTATGGATTAATCTTGTTCTCTTTCCTTTATCAACCTACTTGAATCAATCTTAGCTTATGACAACATCTGTTATTGACCTTTTTTGTGTTGGTTCTTTTGTTACGCCTGTGAAGAAGGTGAAGCGGCTGAATCCGACAACGAAATCAAAAGTGCAGAGGCTCTGCAATATGATTTCAGCACCATTAGTGCTGCAACAAATCACTTCTCTAATTCAAATAAGCTTGGACAAGGTGGATTTGGTGCAGTTTATAAGGTAAGAACCAAGAGGATCGATCTCTACGGAATAAATACGAATACATATGTGATTCATTTTGATATCTTCTCAGGGAAAGCTCGCCAGTGGAGAACTAGTAGCAGTGAAAAGGCTGTCGACTGATTCCAGACAAGGAGATGTCGAATTCAAAAATGAGGTTCTATTAGTGGCCAATCTTCAGCATGTGAATTTGGTTAGGCTTCAAGGTTTCTGCCTGGAACGAAACGAAAGTCTTCTCATCTATGAGTTTGTGCCTAATGCAAGCCTGGATCAATTCTTATTTGGTATGAATCATGACAACATCACTAAACTATGAAACCAAATTACCTACATCCGTGCTGAAATGTATACACTTACGGGTGATGCAGATCCGGTTAAGCGCGCATATTTGGACTGGGAAAGACGATACAAAATCATCGGAGGCATTGCTCGAGGGCTTCTCTACCTACACGAAGATTCTCGATTAAGAATTATCCACCGTGATCTCAAAGCTAGCAACATATTATTAGATGCAGAGATGAATCCTAAAATTGCAGATTTCGGGATGGCAAGATTGTGTGCAGTTGATCAAACTCATGGTGCTACAAGTAAAATTGTGGGAACATAGTAAGTATCATAATCTTCTAAAACTGTAAAATCATGTGTACTTTTTCTTTCTTTCACAAGGGAAACTAATGTTTCTGATATCGAACTGCAGCGGATACATGGCACCGGAATACGCGATGCACGGTCAGTTTTCAGTTAAATCGGATGTGTTTAGTTTCGGTGTACTGGTCTTGGAAATCTTAAGTGGTCAAAAGAACAGTGCTTTTCATAAAGCTGATAATGTCGAAGATCTCCTAAGCTATGTAAGTAATAACCTCTTTGTATTTATGTGATTTCTTGATTCGCCATCAAAATTTACTCAAAGCATTCAAATCTTACCAGGCATGGAGGAGTTGGAAAGATGGGACACCATTGAATCTTGTGGATCCGACACTGAGAGACGGTTCGACGACTGAGCTGTTGAGATGCTTACACGTCGGACTGCTTTGCGTTCAAGCAGATGTAGCGGAGAGGCCGAACATGGCAGCAGTTGTTTTGATGCTTACAAGCTACTCTGTCACTCTTCCAGCACCTTCACAACCTGCATTTTTTATGCACAGTAACGCTCAATCGGAGATAGAGATGCCATGGTCGGAAGACTTGAATTCCAGGGCCACGGAATCAAGTCAATCGAAAAAGGAAGTCACGGTAGTTTCGGAGAATGAGGTTACAATTACCGAGCTCCATCCAAGATAGCAAAGGAGCTGTCTTGTTTGTAACCATTTCCAAACAGAGTTTGGTAGAAACAATAAATCATTTGTTTTCAAATATAATAAATTATATTTTAATAATATTTACCGATCAATGCTTTCAATTATAGATTTGATGACAGAATATTTCAAGTATTGATTCAATAATATAATGTAAAAAAGAGTCAATACATAAAATACAACTCAAGTGTTGTGATCAAATTTTGTTATATCCTAGTCAACAGGTTAAATTCTAACTCAGTCCGTCGCCAATTTTTTAACAGAAAAAGACAAGTTTGTAATATATGAATAATCAAGTGATCATTTTATAACTTTTAATAATCGAAGACCCAACATACCAATACCTTATAGTTAGAGGGTCATTGTATCTTTTAATAATCGAGAGACTTAACACAATAACACCTTATATTCGAAAAATCATTTGTGTATTTTACCCTAATTATTTTATAGTATTTGAGTCTGTGGCCGATGCATGCACTTATTCATTAAAATGAAGCATAGAGTTTCAAATTTCCCTTGGTTCTAGATACCTAATAAATTTAGGTGTTTAAGTATTTTGGAGTTTGGAGTAATGACAAAGATGATGATTAATCAATGATTGAGTGTCGACATGTAAGTGATTTTTCGACGATGGAGAAGGTGGTGGGTGATTAGGCTGAAAATGACTTAAATTTAAGATTTTAGGATTTTGAGGGTGTTTTGTGATTTTAAAGAAATTGAGTTTTTTTTAAAAAAAATAATCAATTTTAATATTAATTTTTTTATTTTAAATAATTTTTAAATTTTATAAGTCTGGCACATATCAGATAATGAAACGGTCGTAGCGAAACAAGTACCTAAAAGTGTAATAGAAAAACATTAAAAATATTTTTAACAAAAAGAAAATCTTTTAGACACTTGAAGTTAACGAAATGTATAATTTAGACACTTATTTTTTTATTAAGACTTAAATAAAATTACATGTTGTGGGCATAGTCATTTATTCTTAATTTTTAATTTTATTATAAATTTTTAAAATGGTTTCGGTATCCTAAATTTTATTATCTTATATTTTATTTAGGTTCATTTTGATTAATATATTTAAATGACCAAAGGAGGCAATAAAACAATAGTGAACAATGTGAACGTGACATTTGATCACACTTTATCTTTTTATTTTGGTTTTATGATTTAGGTTTCAAGTTTATTATTATTTCTTTTTATAATATTATTTTAAAATTAAAATTTAATTATTAATCTCTAATCTATTAAGTGATCTTCATGATAAATAAAAATGTTGATCTATTTAGAAATTATAAATCTAAATAAACGCGTTTATAAGATAAATGTTATTATCTTTTAAACAAATTTTTTTTATAACACCTGAGATTATTTAGAAAATAATAATTATTGATCTAAAGTAAATGGACTGATGTTGAAGAGTTATACATGTTAACGTGACATTTAATCATGCAGCCAAAGGTTATATATTAACCGAAATTTTAATTATTAAGATTTAATTTTATAACACATTTCTTTTTATTTGAGATTATTTAATAATCAATTTTATTAATAAATAAAATATTCTAAATAGATGTAAAATCTTATTGAATAATATGGTTTAACCTTAATAATTAATCAAGTTTATTAATAAATAATACGGTTAACGGTATAATTTTCTTTTTAATCCCTTCAAATCTTAAATTATTAATTTTAATAACTATTAACCCTTTAATTAAATAATAAATTTACAAATATAGCCCTCCAAGTAATTAATAATTTGGATTAAACCCAAGTTTAAGAAGCTTGTAGAGTGTATTTCGGCCACATTTTATCATTCGGTGCTTGACAATTTGTAATAATGAAATACTACTTCATGTTAAGACCAATAAGCCTTATTATTTTACAACGAAAGTTAAGGGCCCAAATATTACGGGCCCAAATCTAATGGAAGAGTTGCAGGCTAATAAGTAGCTCCAGTTTTAAATAGGTTTAAATGCATTATTGTCCCTAAACTATGTATTTTATACTGAGTTGTCCCCTAAATAGTATTTTTGCACGTTCCTCTCTTTTTTTTTTTGAAGTTCGAACCATTATCTCTCTTTCCCCGAACCTTTTAACTCCATCAAAATAACAAGGGTAAACTAAATATTTAATCACTCAATTATTCTTATGATTCCGTTTTGATCACAAAACTATTTTTTAAAAATCATCACTAAACTTAAGTTTTTATTCTATTTTGATCACTCACTGTTAAAAAATAAACAGAACTGACGTGACATACAATACTGGAATGAGGCCAGAAATTACGATGATCATTCCGAGACGCTGTTGATCGCCATGTTGGTTACAAGTGTGGAGGTACAATTCACATTTTGCAATGCCTTCACTTATTTTCTTATAAGTACATAGTGAATGCTTTTATAGTGTTTGTTTCGGTATTCTAATGAAGCTATTGTTCATTTCTTTCGGGTTTCACTCTGATTTAACTCTGAAGACTCCTTAACGTATGATATCAATTGTACACAAGAGCAAGGATTAAGATTACACGTAGTCATTGTAAAACAATGAGTCGTAGCAAGAAAACTTGTCTATAAACAAGAACTAATTATGCTCCAAGTCAAATACATTTCATTCTATCAAGTGTTTTGGAGGTTTTGTATCCACTAACTTGTATTTTTTTATTTATAGTTTTTATGATTTGTTGTATTTTGTATTAAATTGTAAAAAGATTGCATAGCGAAACTTATGCTAGCCCTACAAACATATATTTAAGAACTAGTAACAAGATTATTTACAGAAAATAAATAAATATATTGACAAATATTATTATTTGTAAATAAACATTTACAATACACAATATTTCCATCGTACTCCCAAAAAAACATTATTCTGACTACCTTTAATAAATGGGCACATCGAGTTCGTCATATTCATAAAATATACTTGAAAATTATTTAAATATTCTATTAAAATTTCATCGGAGATTTAGGTAGTCTAATGATAACTTTTCAAAAGAGAAAACGTGAGAAATGAGAAATGAAAATGTGATTTTTCGTTTAAAGCTTGAGAGATAAGAGATAAAATTATCTGATTCTTTTGAAACCCAACACGAGACCAAGGGTTTTTTCTCATCACAATTCTTATAATGACCAACTTGCTATTTAGAGATGTTCAAACAGCCCCAAGGGAGGCACTTCTATGAATTTAGATTTTTAGAGAGGGGTGAAGACATTTAGAGGGTTTTTTTAAAATATAAATAGTAGTATAAATTTTTTATTTACTTATTTTGAAATAATAGAAATCCCGGTCAACGCCTACTCATACATCAAACAATGTGACATAATAGGTTAACTTATCATGTCAACATAGTTTAACGAAATCGCCAGTCAACGATAAATTTATTGGTCAAATGATCACATTAAATTTTTTTCTTTGAATTTGAGTGTCTAAATAATATAAAAATAATCTGAAAATTATATTAATCATATATCATCAAGCCAAAAAAAAGCATAAATTTGTACAGTTTGAATTGAAAAGAATGGGGGAAGAAAGAAAAACAAATGGGGATGGAGGAGAGGGAAATTATATATGATTAAAGAGGCAGCCAGAAGTCGTAAAGAGAAGGAAAAGTGAATGTTGGTGATGCCATTTTGCAAATGATTTTGTTTATTTAAAATGTGGCAAACTCATTCATTCAAAAAATTATCACCTGTGTTAGGTATATCGACACACCCCCTTTCATGTTTTAAAATTAGGACTAGTAATTAAGATAACGTAAATAACGATTAAAATATTAAGACCAAACCGCCCAAGGAAGCTTAGCTTGTCTATCTCAAAACCTCGTAATTTTCACGCTGCCCGTTGGCCTATGTAACTGCTCTCTGTCTCTTATCATCATTGGCCGTCCTTGATTTGTTCAATGTTCTACATTACCCATCCCTCATAATATTTTCTTTTAGGGTAAACTACATATTTAGTATCTAAACTATTACTTTTATTGCGTTTTGGTATCTACACTTTTTTTTCTTTTCAAAACTATACATAACGTTTAGTTTAGGTTTCATTTTGGTATTCCGCCGTTAAAAACTTAATGGTGATGTTGATGTGTCACCATAAGGTAATGTCATGTCATCATTTAAAAATTAAAAAATATCTTATCAGCATTTTTGTTAAGTTTTTAACTGTGGGTACCAAAATGAAACAAAAATAATAATTTAGATACTAAACTTGTTGTTTATCCTTTCTTTTAACATAAAATGGGCCTATTACATAGATTGATATCTCAATACGAAATTTTCCCTTAAACTACTATCTGAACTTTGTTTTGTTCCAATTTAGTACTTGAATTTGAAAAGAAGAAGAAGATTAATGTGTATTTATTTGGTATCTCAACAACTAACAAGTTACTCATATGCAATTGAACGATTAAAATGATAATATCATCAGATATCACATGTTACAATCTGATTAATTTTTAAAATATTATATTAAAACATATATCAATTTCAAAAGGTATAATGACAAAAAATGCTCTCAATGTTTGATTAAATAGTCATTTTGGTCTTAAGATCTTTAGAAAGAATAATATTACCTTTGATCAATAGATTACTTGATGGATTCAACTAAAATGATTATTTAATTAAATGTTAGAAACATTTTCTTAACATTATATTTTGATAGTTAAAAAGAGAATGTTAAAGGGTAATTATGTCAACATGAATTAAAAATTGCCAGGCTAGAAGTGGGACATTTCTTCCTGGCCTCCATTTCATAAAATTTGAATACAGTACTCTTACTAGGTCTAGCCCTAGAAAAGCAACCTTAAACTAAAACCTTTAAACCCTTAAACGGCCCTGTCAGAAAAAGAAGAAGAAAATCCCTCAGATCTCCCTAAGTTTCTGTCTTTACAATGTCGATCTCTCTCAAAACTCTGACACCCATAACTTTGACCCTGCTTCTTCTTCTTCTTCTTCTTCTTCCTCTCTTAGCCACCTCTTCCATACACGATCTCCTCCATAGACAAGGCTTGCCTGTTGGTCTTTTCCCGGACAACGTTAAGTCCTATTCATTCAACGCTTCGGACGGTCGCCTGGAAGTTCACCTGGAAAGTCCGTGCATGGCTAAGTTCGATGGGAGGGTGTACTTTGACCGTGTGGTGACGGCTAACCTTAGCTACGGTGGACTGGTCGGAGTGGAAGGGCTGTCTCAGGAAGAGCTGTTTGTGTGGTTTAATGTTAAAGGTATTCGTGTTAAGGATCCTTCTTCTGGGCTTATTTTGTTCGATATCGGCGTTGCTCATAAACAACTGTCGCTTTCTCTCTTTGAAGATCCTCCTGTTTGCAAGCATCAAGGTAATTGGTTATTGATTTGGATTTGTCTGGAAATAACGTTAGATCTTTGAAGGTTTAGTCTGGTTTTTTTATTAGGATTGTGTTCTGATTATGTTTGTTGAATTCAGAAGTTGTGGAAGAAAATCTTGGGAGGAAGATGGGATTTCAAGTCCAGAGGTGATGGGCTGATTCATTTCATTGCTTCATTTTGAAGAGAGATTTTGTTTCCCTTCTATTTGCCTTTTTCTTTCATGGTATTTGTTAGATGTATGTAAAGATCGAAAATTGAAGATAAGATTTCAAAATTTAAGTGAAAATATTTTGGGCTCTACAAATATGATTGAAAAAAGGCATAATACTAAAATTAGCCCCCAATTTTTATTAAAATTATCATTTTGGGCCCATGTTCTTTTTTTAAGAGTATTTTGATCTCATCGTTTCATTTTAGGACAAAAATGATCATAACGTTTAACCAAATTGTCACTTTGGTTTGTATTTTTTTTCTAGAACATTTTGATCATTAATGTTTCATTTTAGGGTAAAATTCTCATTTTTCTTAGCATTAATCGTTCGTTAATTGTATGAACCAAACGACCTTAGTGATTAAGAAATGATTGTTATCTCTAGAGGTCTCGGGTTTGAGCAAGTCATTTGCAGGCGTGTATGAGTGTTGATTTTTAAATGGTTGAGAGTTTTTTAAATATATACTATTTTGTAATCACCCAAAATTAATAAAAAAATCATTTGCTAACTAACAGTTTCCATTCATAGAGGGGTTTTTTACCCTAAACTAAAATATTATAAACCAAAATACTTAAAATTATAGATTAAAGTGACTATTTGATCATACATTAAGAACAATTTTTTACATTATATAAAAAAATTGGCAGTTATTTCTCAGTTTTTCAAGCTAAAGTTTAGCATTTCTCTTTCCATTCTGAAGAGTATCATCCATCTAATTTTTATGTTTTACCAAGTAGTGATTTTATAATTTAATTTATATTAATAATTTAATTTATATTCTTAAAATCATATAATTTCGTATAATATCCCAATTTTTGAACTAGTGATTGAAAAGTAAATTTCGAAAGTCTAGAAATGAAAGTGTAAATTTATAAAAATTTAGACACTAAAAATATAATTTTTCAAAAGTTATATTTTGGGTATGTAATTGAGCAGTTCAACCCAAGAATATAATTTTAGTGGGTTTTAGAATTTTGATTTGAAGTTGGTATAAAAGTTTATTAAGCGATAGAGTCCGGTTAAATATTCGGATAATCAGATTGAATCAAAAGCTTACAAAATTTGAAGGAATGAAGTATGAGGTTAGAAAAATTATATTGATATTTTTAATTAGTATAATTTGATGTGAATTAGTGGAATTTAGAGGAATTTCCATGTTAAAGTAGAATAGTGAAATTTAGTGGCTAAATTAAATTTTTGGAAAATTGGAAGGGTGAAGATGAAAATTGATAAATTAGATTTTTAGATTTATTTAATGATATTAAAATGGAGATAAAAGGATGGCATGGTGGTAAAAATTAGGATTCATTAAGGGTAATTTTGACTTTTGGACTAAAATGAATTTTTAATTGTTTTTTAAGATAAATTAAGAGATATTTGTATGGAAAACTCAAGAGTTCTCCTCACATATTCTCCATTCTGCCGTGATTCCATAGCCAAGATGAGCAAAGTTTTTCTTTTTCATTTTTGATCCATTTTAGTGAGAATTTAGACTAAAGTGTGAAATAAGAAAATGTTCTACACTTAATCTCTATAAATTGGTATAAGTATTTCATTGTTCCATGCTTAAATGGTGAAGTAGGTATTTATGGTGGTTGAAGAGAAAGTTGAATTTGATTGAGATAATGTTGTAATCTAACTTTAGGAGTGTTATGGAAATATAACAAGTATGAAAATTGATTGGAAATGATTAGGAAGGACTTAATTGAAAGTTTTGTCTATGATGGGGTATTATGGAGAGATGTTAAAAATTTGTTAGTTTGATATGTGAATGGTTTAGAATGATCTTAGATGCTTGGAAATTGTGTTTTGGATCGAATTGGAACTTTGTTGGGTTTTAAGGACTATTTTGCATGGTTTGAAAAGTGAAAGATTAATAGGCAATTGTTGAAAAACTAGAGTACCATGCTGGAAATTATGTTTGGATTGATGGAATGTTATATTGGGTTGATTTAGAATTTAAATAAATCTTAGGGATCATGCTGCAAGTTTTGGAAAGATAAGTGATGAAATGAGAATTTGACAATGTTTAAGTATTGTTTGAAAGTATTGTGAAATTGGTTAAATGTGATGGTTGATTTGGATTAAGTGACCATCAAAGGATTTAATTTAAATGTTAGTGAGATGTTGAGTTAAATTTTAAATAAAGGTTGAATGGTGATTAAAAATGAATGGTTGAAAAGTTAAGTGAAATTATTGTGATAAATGATACTTTAAGGATTTGATAGAATTAAAGTTTGTTCTCGAGTGGGTCACTAAAATTTTTATCGAACTTACGTCGATAGCATTTCTAGAATATTATGCAAATTTGAGTTTAGTATATTAGTTGAAATACTAATATATGTTCGAAATTATATATATCGGGAAATTGATTGACGTGTAGATAGCGATCTAAAGCAAGCTCAAAGTGAATTAAAAGAAAAGGATAAAACCTGATAGTGAAGTGGTCGTAGTATTAAAGCTAGTGAGGTAACAAGTGAGTGCAACTAACTGTTAATATAAAATGATACGAGGATGGCTTGCGATGAGTCAACCTCAATCAATCTGAAAAGAAAATGTTTTTAAATCGTATTTTTAAAAATACAACATTTTATTATTGTTTATTTTATAACATGTGAATATTTTGGGTATGAACTGCCTAATACTGGTTTTTATGATATTTTTATTTATACTCGATTATATGGATGCTTTATATAGAGAACAATATATGATTTTGAATTACACCCATTGTATGAGATTGAGAGTTAGTGATACAAATGGCATGCCATGAGGTGGAGTGATTATTGATATTTATTCATTGATTATTGATATTGGCACTATATGTGCACTGTAGGTTCACGATGTTGTGACATTGTGAAATCCATATTGATACAGTGATGTTGTGTTTTACAGTACTTATATATTACTGTCACTGTGATGTTGTGTTTTACAATACTTGTATATTACTGACACTGGCACTGAAAGTGCAAACTGTTACTAATAATAAAACTACAAATAATGCACACTCGTTTACTGACTCGTGTACCATATATTCTCATGATGATATAGTGGGCAATAATACGAATTGAAATAGAGTAGTACAAAATTGATATGACACAATATTGTTTATTATAGACTGTTTAAGTAGAATTTTTATTACGGGTTTTGAACTGACGATTAAATTTATAACTGTCAGTATATGCAAATAATTTTATTGATCGCAATTGGATTTGTATAAATTTAATTTTAATAATATTTTTATATGATATCACTTGTTCGTATGTTAGAGTTTTATTTTATTTTATTAGGTTGTCTCACTAAGTAAAAAACTTAGAGTGTGATTGTTTCACACATAGGTAAAGGGAAGTCGACATGAGAGTAGGGGTCGAAATAGGCCAGGCCAGCCTACAGGGGCCTACGACCTGGTCTATATAAAGCCTGGTCTGACCTATTTAATAAAAAGGCTAGGCTCGGGCCTTTTTAAAAGCCTATTAAATTAAATAAGCCAGACTTAGGCTTATTAAAAAAGCCTTATAAACCTGATAGACCGGCCTATTTAGAGTGACTACTTTGTAAAATGCGCTAAGTTAGAGTGACTTAATAAGAACTTTACTCTAAAATTAGTGACTAAACTGAAAATATTAAATGATTATTGTGAAACATGCTTTTAAACATACCAGTTCAAGCCAAAATAAAAGCCTTTGACAGGCTACAGGCCATGCTCAGGCCTACAAAAATCATCGTAGGCCAGGCTCAGTCCTATTAAAGTCTGGCCTGACCTGGCCTATTTCGACTCCTATATGGGAGTAAAGAGCCACGCCAGATATCCCATATTTTGAAATTCAGTTCAGGAAACTAGAATTAGTATGATATCTTTCTAATATTTTTTATATTTCTTAGTTGGTATGTACATATTTATATTTTTTTATGCTCTAATTCGATAGGTCTGAATTGATTTTTGATTTAAACTATATAAGCTAGTTTATTAAATGAACATTATTAGATATGAATAGTATTTTATTAAATCGTTTTTTATTTTAGTTTAAATGAATATTAAATTTATTAGTTATTTTAATTATTTTAATTATATTAGTTTACTTTTAAAAGAAATATTTTTTTTTAATTTTCAAACATTATTTGTTTTGTGTGATTGATGTGATATCTTTAACTCGTATACAGGTATATATATATATATATATATGAGTAAAGGATATTTCATTTCGTATGTTTAATTTTTTTAATTCATATCCTTAACATAATTTTATATATATACTTATTATTAAATTACAAGTACCCACGTGAACGAATTTAATGATTAATGTCTATTATTCCATAAATTTAAACAAGGGTAGACGTTGATCATAAATTTTAAAATTACTTCACACCCAAAATGAGAACCAAACCCCCAGTTATTGGATTAAAAAAAACTTTTATCATCTCACCTAAATCTGTGATTCATTATCATCTATAGTTCATAATAAATTATAAATATTTTAAAATTACTATCAAACCCTTACCCAACTATGAATCTTTTATTACAATTTAAACAACATGAGAGAAGTTTGAAGCATAGGTCCCTTTGGAACTAGGAATTAGGTCTGGGCCTGCTTAGCCTAATCTTGTGTCTTAAAATGAATGCAACAAACAACAGCCATTGCATGGTCCACCAATTATATATATATATATATATATATATATATATATATATATATATATATATATAATGTCCCTAAACTACGACTCTCACCCAAACTTTTGAATCTTCCAATTCATATAAATATGTAATTAGTGTCAACTATAATTTAACTTAAATTTTATTTTTAAAACATATAATTATATAATTTGGCATAACGACTTTATTAACAAGGGATGCGATTAGTATATATGTATAGTCTGAGATGAAATTAAAATGTTCAAAAAGTTTGGGGACTAATTTAAAATGACAATCATAGTTTAAGGATAGAATTGAAATGTTTAAAAGTTTAGGGATTATTTAGAATGACAATCACAGATTTAGGACCGTTGGATGAGTGAAAATAGATGATTAAGATTATAATTAGAAAATGAGAAGATATTCATTGGAAAAAAAGGAGTTAATCTCAATTATCTATTTTTACTTGACCAACGATCCTAAATTTGTATAAAACTAAAAACAATTTAACCAAAGAATAAGGAGAAGATCAAGTTGTTTGGGGTGCAAATGTAGGTATTGTCATCAGATATATGTTGGGATTAGTTGGGATTTCTAATGGTTGTTTAAATTTTGATGATTTTAGGTCGGAAGAAGATTAACAAGAAAATGAGGGCAATTGATTTTGGTGGATGAGCTCGGATGAATCGAAAGGGTTGATGGGATAATCGTATTTTAAAAATTTTAAATTCTTATAAAATTTAGATATATTTCTTTCATTTTAATAATATATTTTCGTCATCCTAAAATTATATAAATTAGTCTTTTAATATAAAATCACCCGTCCTTGTATACATCCTTAAATACATAAATGAGTATCCCACTGTTGCAGCAACAACGCGACAATGATATTATGTGGTGAATTCCTTATTTTTATATAAATAGATAATGTTAAAAAATGGAACATAATATTTAAAATAAATTATATATTAGTCACTCATTTATTTTTATGATTTTGTTTTGGTCAATTTTTTTTAAAAGAATGTTATATTCATATACGTTAAGCGACAATTGCATCAGAAACAATAGTCGAAGCAAAACAATCCAGACATGAATATGAAAAATACATAGGCTGTTGATGTGAAGATGCCTATTGTGCAAGACCACGAGCAGTCGTATTAGCTGTACGTCGAACAACAAGCACCCGGATGTTAGAATTAGCAACGAGAAGGCACTTCGCTTCAAAAAAGATGTACGAAGCCATAGATAAATCCAACGTCGTAGAACAAAATTGACGGACGAGATTGGCCGAATCACTCTCGACAATCACTTGAGAAGCATCCAGTTCACTAGTCAAACGGATGCCTGAAGTAAGCGCAGCGGCCTCGACAATGGTTGGAGCACCCAAAACCCCCAATAGCACTCTCCTGTAGTCGAATGAAACACGCCATCCACATTGATTTTTAAAGCATGAATTGGAGGTCGACACCAACTATCAGAAGCAGCAGAAAGATATAGCAAAGCCTACCCCGTTGTTGTGGTAAATGCAGATTGCAAGGCTTCACATTTAGAAATAATATGGCAACCCGGAGTTGAACGAACTTCATGAACAAAGAGATTATGCCCGTTCCAAAGGTTCCATAAAAGAACCGGCAGATGAGTAAACTCCGGCACTGTCATATACATCACAAGAGCCGTCAGAGGAGACAAGAAGACTGTCGAAGTAAGAAGGATGGTGCGCGCGTCAGGACAATCGCGCATCGCATGAAGGACAGTTTCTTCAGCATCCCTGCACATTGGACATATTCCATTACCAAGATTAGCAAGAGAGAGCCTACGACCAACCGGGATAGCTTCATGAGTAAGTCGCCAACCAAATAACTTAATAATCGGCAATGTAGGTAGACAGGCACGGAATAACCAAATAGGCGCATGCTCAACAGTTACTCGACGCTGACGCATAATGATAACCCGACCTCACAAAATAAACACCAGAAGAATGACCTCACTTAATTATTTTTTTAAATAATACTTACTGTTATCAGTGGCGGATGCACTAAGTCCCTATAGGGCCAAGTGCATCCCATTATTTTAGAAAGGTTATTAAATTTAACTTAAGGTGTTAATGAAAAAAGAAAAAAAATTTACAATTTTTGCATACCCATTATTTTTGAGAAAAGAAAATTAAAATTTTGGACCCTTATTCTTAAATTTTCTGAATCCGCCACTGACTGTTATATATTGATCACTTATTATTAAAAAATAAACAAAATTATTGATGTGGCATTATCTTGTAGACATATGGTGACACATTAACATCATTGTTAATTTTTTAATGAAGAATGGTCGAAACGGAACTCAAAGTAATGTTGAGTGTGATTTTGAAAAATAATTGGGTGACCAAAACGAAACTGCAAAAACAGATAGGTGATTAATATGTAGTTTACCCTAATACTTAAAACTTTAGTGAAAAATAAAATCCAATTTCTCGCGATTTAACCAGAACTCTAGAGCCCTAGTACAGCTACTGGCGTCCTCAACCCCGTAAAAATGTCGCCTCTAATTCGCGTCCTCCGCCGCACCTTTTCTACAACCCCAATCCTGCAGCTGGACAGCGTTCGAAAAGTCGCTGATGGTCTCTACAAAGAACGCGACCTCAAGCGTCTCGTTGAAAAATTCAAAAGATCTTGCGAATACAGCCGCTTCCGCAATCGAAATGGCATTTATGAAGATATTGTTCGCCGCCTTGCTTCAGCTGGACGTTTCCGATGGATCGAAGAGATCCTAGAAGATCAAAAGAAATACGAAGACATGTCCAAAGAAGGCTTTGCTGCTAGATTAATTCATTTGTACGGAAAAGCAGGCATGTTTGAGCAAGCTTACAAGGTATTTGATGAAATGCCTAAGAGAGGGTTGTTGTCTTTTAATGCTCTTATGGGAGCTTGCGTGAATGCCAAAAATTTTGATGATGTTGACCGGTTTTTCAGGGATTTGCCACCAAAGTTGTCGATCGAGCCAGATTTGGTTTCTTATAATACAGTTATTAAGGCTTTTTGTGAGATGGGTTCTTTAGATTCTGCTAGATTAATGCTTGATGATGAGATGGAGAAGAAGGGTGTGCAGCCAGATGTCATTACTTTTAACACACTTTTAGATCATTTCTTTAAGAATGGAAAGCTTGATGATGGGGAGAAGATATGGGCTAAAATGGCGGAGAAAAATGTGGAGCCTGATATTAGGAGTTATAATTCTAAGTTGCTTGGATTTGCAACTGAAAAGAGAATGAAAGAGGCAGTTAACTTGGTTGAAGAAATGAGGAGTAAAGGGGTCAAACTAGATGTGTTTACCTTCACTTATATGATTAGAGGGTTTGTTAACGACGGAAAATTGGAAGAAGCTAAAGATTGGTATAGTCAAATAGGGAAAAATGATTGTGCACCGGATAAGCTGACTTTTACAATATTAGTCCCATTCGTTTGTGAGAAGGGTGATTTGAGTTTTGCCATTGAGCTGTGCAAGGAAATTTTTGATAGGAAAAAATTGGTTGATGTTGCATTGTTGCAGCGAGTGGTGGATGACTTGGTCGAAGCCTCCAAGATTGAAGATGCAAAGGAACTCGTGAAGCTTGCCAAGGAAAATACTTACCGTCTATATAAGCTGAACATGCCTGCAGAGTAGTGCCAGGTTTTACCGATGCTATTCTGTTTGGTCGTTTTAGTTTATTTGAATATAAAAGCAAGTAGTTTTTTACCACTTGCAGTCAGAACTACTTTCAAGTTAGAGGTGGAGATGATATTAATCTGTTTTCTTATCAGTGATTAAGTTTTCAATGACTTACTTTATCTCTTCTTTTTTATAATCTGCTATGACCTCTAGCTTTTGGTATTGAACCTCAAAGTTCATGGTGAATTAAAATTTGAAACCAAAACTTTGATGATAATCATCTTTGTTATGCAGTTGGTATTTCGTATTAGTCGATCAAATGAATTGTATGACTTATGTCACGCACCGCTCTCTCCGCTTTTCATCTGTGCATCTCAGTATGAAATTGGAGAAACTGGAAAACACCATTAGCCCTTTCCATGTATAGTGTTACTTGAACTTGAGTGATACTTGGTGGTTCTTCTCCTGTTCCTATGAACTGATGACTTGAAGAGTGATGGCTTGTTTACAGAAAACCTGGATCATACTTTTATCAACTTTTCCCTCTTTTTACCTTAAACTAAGATCATTTAATTGAGCTGACAGTGATCTGAACGTGCATAAACTAACAAAAAATCAAGTTTCAATTTCGTAAATAGACACGATTCCCTTTAGATGGCATAGAAATGAAAGCGTCTCTACGAACGATGAACAAGGTTTTACATCAAAATACACTTAACCAATTCTCTTAGCCAAGCTTGGCAAGAACATCGTTCAAACTAGATACAGTCTGAGCATAATACTTCTCTGCTTCAGGAGTGCTCTTGATCTTGGCTGCATGGTCAAGCTGTAAGGAAAAAGAAAATTCCACATCAGAAATACATGATAGTTTACCGTATCAATTGAGGCAAGCAATAATGCAGCAAAACCCAAAGGAAGAACTTTGAAACTTACATCGTCGATGGTATTGAAGAGCTTCTTAGTAAGGTCCTTGAGAGTTTTCTTCTCATCTTTCGGCTTGGAATCAATGACAGTGTTGAGGTCATAGCGGAGATACTCAGCCTTGAGACGTAGATCATTCATGACATAAGGCCATGCTTTTTTGTCAATCAAGCTCTTGACACCAACAATGTCCTTGGCTGACTCCTTTGCTCTCTGTGCTGCCTGAGCTGGAGTAAGTGGTTGGAGGAAGAACCTGTTTTTGTATGGCAGATCAAGGTCTCTTGGCTCATCCGAGTTTAGAGTTCCAGCTACCAACATTCCGATTTGGTCATCAAATTACTGAATTCGAACATGCATGAAATCTATAAATAGAAAAGAATTGACGACTTACGCAATCCACCAGAGGGCGGGGGAGGTCCGCCAACCTTGATGCTCCTTGCATCAGCAAGCACAGCTTGAACAACAGAGCCAGTGGCCAAACCAGCAGCAACAAGACCCAGAATGGCTCTGCGTCCGGTCTCAAGCTCAGCCGGTGCCTGATGGGCTCTGACAGTGAAACCAGACCTACTCACAGGCACTCGGTTGTTTCTAGCAATATTCAAGCGGGTTTGGCCACTGATTTGAAGGCTGCCATCCAGGACAGCCTGTGAAGAGCCAAGTAAACCAGCCATAGATGCCATTTCCACAACCAAGGTGTTTTTCCTTTTTCAATCTGAATAAACCAAATGTAGAAAATGTTTGTTCTGGCTTCTGGGGTTACTAGAGGGTGTTGATTTGATGATGAAGAATTGGGTTTTTTTTTTTGGTCTGTGATGTAGATTAGTTGTTGTTTGTGACACCTTATCTGCGATTTTCCACTTTGGATAAGTCAGATGTGGTCTTAACCAATTGCTCTTAGACATATGGGTAGTCGATGAATCTTGGCATTGGACATGTTGGATGGGGTTTCATGGTGACATGGGTCATGTTCTGACACGTGGACTTTGCAAACCATGATTCTCTGATTCAGTATGTGGTTAACAAATTAATACAGGGATTAAATTAAAATTTCCAAAACTTTTAAACGACTTAAATTTTCCCCAAAACTTGGAGGGGAGCAAGACCCACGTGTTCTACTTATCATCCATCCTAGTATTTAGTTCACACGATGTAAGATTAATAAAAAAATACACTTTATTAGTACGAATTAAATTATCTTAGTAGTTCAAGGAGATTGTTATCATTTGAATTCTCGAGTTTAAACATTAGCGACTGTAGTGTATTTGAATAAATTTATTGTCAAATGATTGAGAGTTTTTGAAACCATTTATTAATAAAAAAAGAATATACTTTACTAAATTATTCTTATGATAATTGTTTAAATTTTATTAACTTTTAATACTAAATTAGAATATGTTAGTATGAAAAATCATAATACTATTTCATTAGATTCGATCTAAAACTTACATTAATTATGTTATTAAGATAATTAAAATACAAAATAAAATTTTAAAAAATAAATGCATATATTCTTAATACACTGAATATATATATATAATATTTTTTCATGTCATGTCTAATATTATCAAATCTATATAGGAATAAATTTAAAAATAATCATTATTGTAGACAAATTATTTTAAATAAACTAAATAAAATGTGAAAAAAGACTTTTTAAAGGAATTATTATTTTTCTTACAAGACACGGGTTCGAACTCTAATGACTACAAATGTGATTGAACATTTATTGTCAAATGATCGAAAGTACTTAGAACATATACTACTTTGTAATATCATTTTTTATTAGTTTGAGGTTAGTATAAGATAGAATCTATTCAAAGATGACTCTCAACATTTTAACATTAAATGCTCATACATCTGACATTCTTGATGCTTCAATCCAAAAACTCAAATAACAACAATAATTCATTTTATCATTGAAATCAATCAGATTCGTGCTAATCTCCTTTAACTTAAAAAAGGACTTTTATGTTACATATTTTATTTGGAACATATATTTATGCATTGGGCCAGATTATCTATTTTTAATTAAAAATACTTTGGGTTCTCAAAAAATTTGACAGTGGGAGAGATAATATTCAAAAAGCGGAGGGGATTAAGGGGGAAAGGCAGTCGAGGGAGTGGTTTTTTTAAAAAAAATATAAATATTTTAAAATATATAATAATTATATGTATCATATAATGATTAAATTTAATAATTATAATAAATCAAACAATTAAAAATATAATAGAGAAAACTTTAAACATTTATTTTAACAAAAAACATTTTAAACATATAAAATTAACTTAATATAATTTAAGAAATTAATAACCTTTATTTAATTACTTTTACGTGCACATATTCTATTTATATGAAAGTGAGAACCACGCGCTACTGCAATGAGCTATAACGGCCGCACCAAGTATTTTATATCCCTAAAATAATTATACTTATCAAATGTGAGCAAAATTAACTTGACTCCAAAAAATTAATTTTTTTAAATTGATTTAATAATAATAATTTTTGATTCAATTTGATATGACTTGTAATTTTATAAATTCGATTAAAAAAATTTCAAATTCGATTCAAGTTATAAAATAGGACACGGATAACTCAAAATTTTTAATAATTAGTATATTGATTTTTTAAGTTTGAATCGAATATCTCAACTCTATATGATATATGAAAAAAATGAAGAAATATATATATGTATATCGTATATAATTATAAAAAATTATTTAAATTTGACTCAAATAGTATATTAACATTATAAATATCTACAATTAAAATCAAATAGAAATTTAAACAATTCAAACCGATTCGACTTAAAAAAATGGAAAAAATTAAATTACAAAATAAGATTTATTAACTTAACAAACTATTAACTCGACTTGATCAAATAATGAAGGCCCTAATACTTATCTTTGGAAACTAAATCCCAAGGGTTCATAAATTTGAGGTTTATCCAAATAAATTATTTTCACTATTATATTCAACCAAATATCAACCGTCCGATTAAACAAAGATATGAACCAAGACAGGGACGTGGCAGTCAGATAAAGCACCATCTTCATCATCATTTTCCGACGTCCCTTTGTTCAGAAGGAACAGATAATTACTTTTAAAACAATTGCATTTTTTTATTGGGAAAGTAGGAATAGAGAACAAAGTAAAATTTTATTTTGTAATTACTAATTAACAATAATTCTTGAAGAAAAGAGAATTCGACTCTCATTTGTCCAATCATCCCTCGAAATGTCAACCAAGTTCCTGTAATTTTCTTTCACACTGAACCCTACACTTGGATCGTTTAGTATATAAATTACACATTTAACTTTCAATGGAGAGAGAGGTCTCATCTGCCAAGACAAGAACCAAAGAAACATTTTGGGCCATGGCAGAAGAATTTAACGGCGGGATTTGTGGAGAAGCGTGGTGGAATTGGACGGAATCCATGTTAACAGGGTGTTCTCCGCCGTGTTCTACGGAGTTTCCCGACATGGGAAGCTTCGGATATGGAACTGATACGGTGGATGTCAAGGCAAGCTCCATAGTTTTACAGGGTCATCCTCCTTATCATCAAAAGCTTCAGCAAGCTGATTCAGACACTACTGGTACTGGTATTGGCACTGGCACTGGCACTGGCACTGGCACTGGCACTGGCACTGGCACTGGCACTGGCACTGGCACTGGCAGCAGTATTTTGGTTGATTCTACTTTACAAATGTTGGGTTTTAACCTCCCATCATCGACAACCTCGGACTGGAACTTGTCTTTACTGTAAGTTTGATGTTGTTTCGTAATGATGATAACTGGTTTTAGTGTTCTTTTAGTATAATTATGACCTTAATTGTCCGAAGCTTCAACAAGTTCGAAAAAGAATAATATTTTAAGACTTAATTATTAGCCCAAAATTCTCTGCTTCTCATTTTCTATTCCTTGCTGCAGTCGGATTAATGGGAGAACCGAGAGTTATAATTCGATTCTTCAACAAGACATTGATTCAAGGTTGAGTCATTGGGAAGAACCACACATGGGTTCTTCTCAAATCCTTAAGGATTGGTGTCCGAAGAGCTTTTCAAGACAAGTGAAAGATTCTTCCATTACTGCTTTCGAGCCTATCGATCAAGAGTTCCCATTGGAGCAACCGAAGTTGAATTCGGCTATCAGCTCCGTTAATGGTATACCGACGTGCTTGGACTTATCGACCGGGTACCGAATGGCTTCGGCATCGAATGAGTACCCATCTATGTTGTTACCGACGTGCTGGTCGTCGATAAACTATATGTCGTCTGCAACAGCCGATTATGGGGCAAACGCTAATGAATTATCACCTTTCATAGGGCCATCCTTGCCGAAACAACAATTTCTTGTACATCAAGCATTCGACAAGAAACCTAATTGCTTCAGCCCCACGTCAAAGGTAACGTGAATAATAAAGTTTAATTAACACATATTACAGTACTTTTTAATGTCCATGCCTTCAAGTTTCATGTGGGTTGGTATTATTACAGACTAATTCCGAAGAAGTCCAAAACTCCGGCTCGGTGACCACAAAGAAAGGAAGCAGTGAATCTGCATTCAAGAGACCAAAGCTTGAAACACCATCTCCGTTACCAACTTTCAAGGTACTAAACTATACCACTATACAAATTTGACCAGTTAAAGTAACTTTTTCTGCAAGTTAAAGTAACTTTTATGACCAGGTTCGGAAAGAGAAGCTAGGGGACCGAATCACTGCGCTCCAACAATTGGTTTCACCTTTCGGGAAGGTGAATTTTTGGATTTTTCTCCTTTTTCTTTTACATTTCAAAGTGAAAACAATTGAAAACTTTTACTTCTATAACGTTGACCTTTGGATTAATATCTACCTTACCTTTTGTTCTCAGACTGATACCGCATCTGTTCTCCATGAAGCCATTGAATACATCAAGTTCCTTCATGATCAAGTCAATGTATGTTCCATTACTTTCTTCATCTTATTCGTTTTCTTCTGTGAAACCCTAACATATATATATTGTTTATTATTTGTTAATTTCAGGTTCTAAGTATTCCACACATGAAACAAGCAGCAGCTTCCCAGGTGAAAGATCAAGATGAGCCAAAACAAGATCTAAGAAGCCGGGGGCTATGTTTGGTGCCAATATCAAACACATTCCCTCTTATTAATGAGACAACAGTCGATTTTTGGACGCCAACTTTTGGCGGAACATTGAGATAAAGAAGAAGACAGTTAATAAAGCTAAACGAAGGCCATAAAATAAAAGGAAAAGGAAAGTGACGGTCCAAAGATGTATCGACAGACACGAACACAGTGTGATGGGCCAGCCGCTACAAAGAGAATGATAGCAAGCAAAGCCTTTGTTAGATAAAAGAAAAGATAACCACGTGTTCTTTTTTAATTGGTTCTTTAGTTAATCGAAGTTTTAGTACTTATTGCCAACAGGAACAAGTACTAAATTCAGTGAATATCGAAATACCTCAGGTGATTATTTATTTATATTGTTGTTTGTGTTGAAATTAGTAGCTGAATTTAGAAGATTTAAGAGCCCTTTCTGATCATGTTGATTATATGTGTATAGGGCACCCACCAAGAAAATAAAAGGATTAATTGCATTACAATTTATTGCTGTTGATGGCATGTTGAAGTCAGAGGGAGGTCCACCGTGATGTTTTTGCTTTTAGGGTTTCTGTATTATCTTTGGTATAATTAATATGTTAATTCGAATTGAGTACCACAATGGTTTATTATAAGTCAAATTTTCAAATCGATTTGTTCTATTCATAACATAAGATCAAATTCAAACGTTATTTAAAAGACTTAACGTTTTATCCTGTTATATCAATCGATTGAATAGATAAAATTTCTTTATTTTATTTCATTCGTAATTTCAAAACTTGAGTTTAAACATTATTTAAACAATCTAACACATCATTATGCTAAATCAACTGAGGTTGGTACGGTACTTCATTTGTGTTTAAGCGTGTGCGCATTGGCTACTAGGAGCGTTTAAGAACTAAGATTTTATCTTAATGGGATGCATCAATTATGCTTTTGTGGGTAGCCACTAGTCATTTGCCACAATTTGGGGCGAAACATCTCCTACAATGTTGAAAAAAAGTTGAAGATAAGTTAAATTAAATTTGAAGAGTTTAATTTAATGATCAAAATTTGATAAATTGAGTTAGGATCCCAAGAGAGCACCTTTGGAGAAAGAATCTCAAACCCTTAACACCGCTCGAGAAGTCTTAATATTTAACATGACCTTTGACATGCTCACAGGACTTACTAGAGCTAAAATTTACTGTTGGCTGACCATATCAACGGGTGACCATCATTTGACACCAAAACCAAAGGTCACTGTAAAGACTCTCGATCAAGACAAAGAGAAATGACGAAACTTTCTTTCACTTACTCATCTCTCTTCTATCTCCTTATGGAGACATAATAATTTGACACCGACCAAGATTAATTTCTTACTAACTACGACTCTTCACCCAAATCAGAAGGGATAAATCACCTATTTGTTTCGATCAAGAATCCTAAAACACCAACTTAAATAAAATAAGATTGAAATAGAATATCATCATTTTTAATTTTTTTATACCTAATTTCTTTATCATTATTATTTTATCACCTTCTATATAAAAAATAAAAAGTTGAAAGCTATAGATTTTCTTTTTGATACATATCAAATGTATTTTTTATTCATGTTACATGTGTGTCAAGTAATTGACTCTTCCTTAAGTATTCATTTAGAACACCTAGGTCATTGCTAAAACATGTTTAACACATAATTATCCTTAGCTCCACTTTTGGTCTGCATAACTTTTCTTTGGTTTTAATTTTGGAATTTTCACTTTTCAGCAACTTTATCCTGACTTAACCACTAAGGAGTAAGGACTAGCATAATTCAATAGTAACCGTATAGACTTTAAGGAAATAATAATAATTATTGTTATATTAGTGACGGTCACCTTTCCGTCGGTAAAGCTCTGTATTGATCTGACATCAGTAATGAGTTTTTCCCTCGGAATAGTAATTTTCCTTACAATTTTTAAAGGCATAATCTCAAAAAGTTTGTAATGTTTAATTAAATAGTCATTTTTGGCTCTTATTATCTGTCAGAATATTTGTCTCCAACGTTTTATTTTGGGATAAAAATGTCGTTCTATGAATGGAAACTGTTAGTTAGTAAACGATTAACGCTTCAAAATATGAATTTTTTTATCTTAAAATGAAACATTGAGGACCAAAATGCTTCAATAAAAAGAATAAGAGCCAGAGTGAGTATTTAGTCAAATATTCGGAGCATTGTTACCCTAAAATAAAATATTGAGGGTCAAAATATTCAAAAAAAAAAGGACAAAAATGACCATTTTAATAAATGTTGGAAATTAATTTTTAATATTATGTTTTTATTTTCAAAATATGACAATTCCTCATCATAGCTCATGTTTATATATTAGGCAATCAATAGTTTTCTTAATATTAATAAGAGAACAAATCAAATAACTTCATTGGTTAAGAGATTTATTGTTATCTATTAAGATCTTGAATTTGAATATCGTGCATGCAAGAGTATATATTCACCTCATATTTATAAAAAGTTAATGTGAGAGAAAATTAATTAATCGTACCACTTAAAATCAGATCTCTAGTATATTTTAATAAATAATACTAAATTAATTGTCAATTTACGTGTTATCGATTAAGACTACCTTCAAACTACTTGGGGAAATGAAATTCTCAAAGAGAGAGAGACTTCATTTTTATTGATCATCTATGCCTTAATTCAGCACTTCACGTAGACATGATTGATCACACGAGGACAATGGCCATTTAACGTCATTATTTCTTCAGTATGTTGGTTCCAACATATTATTCAAAGCAATGTCAAAGAAATGAAAACCAACAAAAGGAAAAGGGACCAATAAAGTACCCAAAATCCTCAAAGAAGCTTAACGTTGAAGAATCGCCTATGGCAAGTCACTAATCATTAGAAATGAAAACTATAGCTTCATTGGTATGATTGGCATACATGGTCTTGACGCTTGCTTTTCCATTGTATTAGCTTTCCGGTCACCTTTTGAATTGATCGGCTAATGGGTATTATACCATAAAACTTTTAGGCCGAAATGATATAGAATTCGAGTCATGAACTATATCTTACTCAAAGGAATAGCATGGACCTAGGCATCATTGTTGGTAGTATATGATGGTAAAATAACTAAAAACAAGACATTAGCACTATTTGAAAAAATGTAAATAAAATAATTACATGAAACGATAATTATGTCGTGATGATCCACTGTATTAGAAGCGAATTCAGATTGTCTTGATATTTATAAACTCAGTTCACCAACACAAAGCGAGGAAAAAGACTTGAATCACGCCGCTGTTATATATTAAAATAAACAAGTCCACGTAGTTCACGATGTATCACTTGTATAAATTCCTTTCCCTTTGTCTTGTTTTGGCAAATCAAAGGAGAACTCAAACAATAGCTGTCTTCTACTTCAAGTTTAGTTTCTTTTTAGGTTGAAAAAGAGTAATTTCTTTTCGCTGCTTTGAATCTAATCTTTGTCCACCCCATAAACGAATCAAACCATATGGTTCATAATGGCCTTCCAAGGAACCTGTTGTGTTACACCATTATTACATATTCTTTCAATTTTGGGCTGTTCATTAGGACAAAAAGCTTTGTCGCCAACTTTATTGTTTTATCAAGCTGTCTAACCTCTCGGAAATGATCCCGTTTCAATTCAGGCTTTCCTTTTTTCTATTCCATCGTGTAAGAATCTCCGACCCAAATTGCATTGTTATCATGTATATTCATATCAACAAAACAGTGTGATTTAATGTATCATAAGAGTTTTCATATTCGGTGCTTACGAGTTCGTAGATTTCATTCAACAAATATTTGTCCAAGAAAACAGTATGGCAAGTCTCCGTCACCGGCTGCCGCTCATCATCGTTATCGATCTTTGTTGATTGTTTTCATTGATCTTCACTGATCGCCGTCGTCAATGATTGTTGGACCAAAAATTTCAAGTTCACCCATTTTTAACCTCCTGAGCGCGAATCCAATGTACGATATGTAGGGCATTGATGTTTTTTTTTTCTATTGATGAATACGCAAGCAAATGTAATATCAATATATCGTATTGCAAGTTTTTTTCTTCTTTCGTTTACTGCATTAGATCACTGTATTTGTCTTGAGCTTCAGTTTCTTTATGTATATGTAGTTGCTTAGATTCAGCAACTGTGAGTTGATAGTTGGTAAAACTAAAACATATAAACGCAATTAAGACTAATTATTTTAAGTTTGAATGAGTTGGGGTTCAATTTATTTTAAAATCTAGTCTTGTTAAGTTCATTAATCGAGTATTTTAAGTTTTATCATCTAAAATTTATTTCATTTTAGAGCTATGTTTGAATTAAAATAAACAAATCTAAATTTAAGTTTATTTTTTTTATAAATCTTTCTTAAAATTATTGAAAAATATCAGAAATATTTTTTTGTTATAATTAAGGGGCCAAATGAAATATTTCCTTTATTTAGCGTTGACATCACCCATTTAACAAAAATTAATAGTTGTTGTCAATTTATTTAATAAAATTCAAAGTTTAATATTTATTTTATAATGTTTGAAAGCTCAATAACAAAAACCCATTTTAACATAATTTAATGTTAATGTATGAATTTTTATCTTATTTTATATTAATAATATATATCGATGTATGGCATTAGTGATGTATATCAATGTCTGATATTCACATTAAAATTATTAATAAAATATACAATTCAATTAAAAATAAATTCACGTATACATTAAATCATTAAAATAGATGAAAAATTTATCAAAAAATATATATATAATTACGTTATATTATTGTACCATTGTATATGTCTGAAGTCACCAAAGGCCAATCAACAGAGTCGCCGACGAGTAGATGAATAAGCCCATAAATCCAACATGCCTTAGCCATAGCCCAATTCTTTGCTTTTCTAACCCAACCAGAGATGTTAACTGATCCAACAAACTTTAAACAGATAACGAACCGAATAACCACTTTCTTAACAGATAACGAGTCGAGTTTGAGTAATGTTGAGTTTAACTTGACTCGAAACATTTAAAGTTAAACTCAACTTGATTTGAAAAACCACGAGCTTAAAAATTATCAAGTTCAACTAGAATTCGTAAACAAAAATTGAAGCTGGACTCGATTTGTTAAATTCAATTCGAAATCAAAATAAAAAATTGAAGCTCGTCTTGAGTTTAAAAAAAATTGGACTTGAAATATTCTCAGACTTAGTTGATTGAAGCTTAAACTCGATTTCATTTCAAACTCGATCTTGAACTCGATTCAAACCTAAACTCAAGTAAAAACTTGAACCTTAAGCACATGAAAACCTTG